CGGGCAACGAAGCAGTGGCTTCGTAAGAAGCATTTCAAGGTCCTGGAGTGGCCTAGCCAGTCTCCAGATCTCAACCCCATAGAAGATCTTTGGAGGGAGTTGAAAGTCCGTGTTGCCCAGCGCCAGCCCCAAAACATCACTGCTCTAGAGGAGATCTGCATGGAGGAATGGGCCAAAATACCAGCAACAGTGTGTGAAAACCCTGTGAACACTTACAGAAAACGTTTGACCTGTGTCATTGCCAACAAAGGGTATATAACAAAGTATTGAGAAACTTTTGTTATTGACCAAATACTTATTTTCCACCATAATTTGCAAATAAATTCATTAAAAATCCTACAATGTGATTTTCTGGATATTTTTTTCTCATTTTGTCTGTCATCGTTGACGTGTACCTATGATGAAAATTACAGGCCTCTGTCATCTTTTTAAGTGGGAGAACTTGCACAATTGGTGGCTGACTAAATACTTTTTTTCCCCACTGTACATACAGTGTCTACCTCTATCACTCCAGTATCCCTTCACATTGTAAATATGGTACTGGAACTGACTGACCCTGTACATAGTATGCTTAATTATTTTCTTGTGTTCTTCTTATTTCTTATTTTTTGTTCTACCTTATGTTATTTTTAGTATCACGTTGTTATTGATTACTGCATTGTTGGGTTTAGAGCTTGCAAGAAAGGCATTTCACTGTACTTGTGCACATGACATAAAAACTTGAAACTTGAAATAATGTGGCTTGTAGAGTAGACTACAAAACCCAGGCAAACATCTGAGAGGACTCCCTTCTTGAGAATGTCATAGAGAGAGATTTGTTCACCATGTATGATCCTAGTCAAATACACAATACAACTTAATTGTCCAATTTGCATCAGAAATTATATTTTTGTATTCCCCAACCTCCAGGATAATCTTCTGACCTGTGTGCTACCTACTGTTCCAGGCGGCCATGATGGCTGAGGAACTGAAGAATGAGCTGGAGAGGCTGAAGAACCTGGAGCTCACAGTCAAGGACCTGCAGCACCGTCTGGATGAGGCTGAGAGCCTGACCATGAAGGGTGGCAAGCATTAGCTCCAGAAACCGGAGGGTGAGTTAGCAGTGACATTGGCATTCTGAGTTTTATGGTGAATTGTAGCACATTATAAGGAAGAATATAGAACCTCATCAGTAGGCTAACACTTGATGGTTCAGTGTACTCAGGGGTCAATATTGACCTAATGGCCTTTTAGGAGCACAAAAAAAGTAGAGACATGTACTAAGTCTTAGCAGGTATTGATAGAGTTTCTAATGTTAAAGAATATAAGATTGATGAATTGATACTCTAAATTGAAATGAAAGCTGAGCACAGTGCCATACAAAAGAGTACCCTATCACATCAATTGTATTTGTTCAAGTGTTCATGTGTTTTGAGTGAAATGATGATGTTGATCCCATCTTTTCTCTTCCTTCTCACGGGCTAAAGCAGCTGAAGCTAAATAAACAAGACTATCATTTGTGCCGAACATTTTCTATCTCCATGTTTATTTGTTTCATAAAATATGATTTTTTTATGGGGAAATTGATGACCTTTAGCAGCAATTACAGCTGTGAGTCTTTCTGGGTAAATCTCTAAGAGCTTTGCATACCTGGATTGTACAATATTTGCTCATTATTCTTAAAACCATCCTTCAAGCTCTGTCAAGTTGGTTGTTGATCATTGCTGGACAGCCATAGATTTTCAAGCCAATATAAGTCAAAACTGTAACTAGGCCACTCAGGAACATTCAATGTTGTCTTGGTAAGCAACTCCAGTGTATATTTAGCCTTATGTTTTAGCTTATTGCCCTGCTGAAATGATAACTTTTCTCCCAGTGTCTGCTGATAAGCAGACTGAACCAGGTTTTCCTCTAGAATTTTGCCTGTGCTTAGCTCTGTTACGTTTCTTTTTATCCCCCCAAAACTTCCTTGCCAATGACAAGCATACCCATAACATAATGCAGCCACCACCATGCTTGAAATATGGTACTCAGTGATGTGTTGTGTTGGATTTGCCCAAAACATAACACTTTGTATTCAAGAAAAAAAAGTGAATTGCTTTGCAACATTTTTTGCAGTTTTACTTTAATGCCATATTGCAAACAGGAATATTTGTATTCTGAACAGGCTTTCATCTTTTCACTCTGTCATTTAGGTTAGTATTGTGGCGTAACTACAATGTTGTTGATCCATCCTCAGTTTTCTCCTATCACAGCCATTAAACTCGGTAACTGTTTTAAAGTCACCATTGGCCTCATGGTGAAATCCCTGAGCGGTTTCCTTCCTCTCTGGCAACTGAATTAGGAAGGATGCCTGTATCTTTGTAGTGACTGGATATATTGATACACCATCCAAAGTGTAATTGATAACTTCAGCATGCTCAAAGGGATATTCAATGTCTGCTTTCTTTTTTTTTTTTTTACTACCAATAGGTGCCCTTCTTTGTGAGGCATTTGAAAACCTCCTTGGTCTTTGTGGTTGAATCTGTGTTTGATATTCACTGCTCGATTGAGGTACCTTCCAGATAATTGTATGTGTGGTGTACAGAAATTAGGTAGTCATTTAAAAATCATGTTAAACACTATTATTGAGTCCATGCAACTTATTATGTGAATGGTTAAGCAAATTTTTACTCCTGAACTTATTTAGGCTTGCCATAATAAAGGGGTTGAATATATATATTGACTCAAGACATTTCAGCTTTTCATTTTTTATTAAATTGTAAACATTTAGAAAAACATATTTCCACTTTGACAATATGGGGTATTGTGAGTAGGCCAGTGACACAAAAATCTACTTTAAATTCAGGCTTTAACACAACAAACTGTGGTAAATGTCAAGGGTGTGAATACTTTCTGGAGGCACTGTATGTTGCCCTAAATGTTGTGCAAGGTTGGTAGAATCTTAATCAAAATTATTCACAGCTGTAATGGCTGCCAATGGTGCTTCCATCAAGTATTAACTCTGAGTTGGGAAGACATACGGAATCAATACATTCTCATTTAGTATTTTTTTGTAATTTGGAACATTTTTAGAATTTTCTTTCACTTTGAATCAGAATCAGAACATGTGATGATGAACACCACTTCTTCATGTGTAGTCCCCTGTAGCTCAGTTGGTAGAGCATGGCGCTTGCAACGCCAGGGTTGTGGGTTCGTTTCCCACGGGGGGCCAGTATGAAAATGTATGCACTCACTAACTGTAAGTCGCTCTGGATAAGAGCGTCTGCTAAATGACTTAAATGAAAATGAAGGAAGAGGAGCAGCCCAGTGGAGATCACAAACACTTGATTGTGTTCCACTCAATACTGGAGAGAACAGCTCAGGCAAGGACTGACTTTCTCTTCTCTATTCATGTAAACTGTGTTGTAGATTTTCCTTTTGGCCCATTGTGAAAATGTATAACAGATAAACAGTAGCCTACTACAGACGGTTGCTTGGCGATAAATTGCCATAACCATTTACTGGGCAAGTATGTAATTGGTTGGACTATTGTCACGATCGTTGAGAGACGGGTCAGACCAAGGTGCAGCGTGGTATGCGAACATGTTTATTAAACTGGATACACACTGACAAAACAACAAAAGGCAACGAAACGTGACGTCGGAAGGCTATACACAAACAAGCCAAACTCACCGAAACACAAACAAGATCCCACAACCCAGTATGATCCACAATCAGAGACAACGAGCGACAGCTGCCTCTGATTGGGAACCACACCCGGCCAAACTTAGAAATACAAAACCTAGACTTTCACACCCTGACCAACCTACCTAGAGAATAACAGTCTCTCCAGGTCAGGGCGTGACAACTATACTGGATGAACAGTATACAGTAGACCTAATGTAGTTGTTTTGTTTTATTACTATGCAGAGAACAATTAAAATTAATTATCAGGAAAGTGAAACTTCAAGTAGTGAAGTTACATTTAATTAATTTCATAATCATGTCACTGTGGTATGTGTTAGTTTAGGATCAAAGTAATATCAAGCTCACTGGGTTTGTACTAGAGCACAGACAGGCAGGCCGGACTAAACACCACAGCTATTAATCGATATGTAGGCTGTAGAAATTGGAACGAATTACCTGAATCATATTCCCACTCGGATGACGCAAACAACTGCTGACATCTTTGTAACAGTACAGGGAATACCCAGGAGAATAAAACATGAGAATTAACAAGGCAGGGTTAAATACCGAGTTAATAACCACAATGGATATTTGAAATGTTTATAATGCTGTTGTAGCACAAACCAGAGTCTTTTTTCTAGACGATGGATTAATGATAATGGCAATAGCAGACACTTTGAAAGCATACATTATGGTCCGACTATATTATGTGACAAAAAGTGATAGGGAGTTTGAATAGGAATTTTGCCTAGAGGTTTTTTTTCTCTTCTGTCTTACCTATAGGCTCCATTGAAAACAAAGTGCATTTCATCTGATTGTAAAGATTATGTTTAAATATAAACTGAATGAATGGCTACTGAATACTTCCACTCTCTCTGTTGTTAATTTAGACTGTCCAGCTTGTACCCTCCTGCAGTCAGGATGCAGACCATACAGACCATAGAGACCCAGGTACCTTTCCTGAAGGAGATCTTCTTCACCACAACCTTTAAAGACAGGAGGAAGAGTAGTGTGACCAACCTGTTCCGCAGACAGCAGCAACAGCAACATCATCCTCACCAGACACTTCCGCCTTCTCTGGACGGGGATGAGCCTCGCATTAAACATGCTTGGCTGGGTCGCTCATCCAGCAGCCCATTCTGCAACAGAGCAGATAGGAGGAGGGAGGGGAAGGGAGAGAGTGAGCCTGTCAGCCTTTTCTCAGCAGCAGAATCTCACAGCTGCTCGCAACACCGGCGAGCAGGCAGGGATTAGTGCTGAGCTCCCAGAGAGCCAGTTCAACAACCCAGGAGCAGCAGCCCCAGCCCCAGTAGCATGGCCTGATTGCCAAGGGGGTCTGCCTGTTTAGGAAGATGGGGAACCAGGAGGCCAAGCAGAGGAAGGTAGCAGGGGAAGATGCCCCCTGTGATGGGGGAGTCGAGGACAGGGAACCTGAGAGCTCCAAGAAAGTCAAGTCCAAAGGGGGAGATGGTGACAAGAAGAAATCTCAATCGGAATCCAAAAGCTCTGTGTTTTCCAGCATGCAGATCAGGAAGAGTCTGTCTAAGGCAAAGGGGCTGTCCAAGGAGGTTATCCTGGACGGCAAGAGGTCCCAGCTGGAGGAGGCTGATGATCTGCCTCTCTGCAGACGAGCTGGGAATGATGTCGGATGGTGACCCAGAGCATGGCCGCTTGACAACGTCGGAGGCAGAGGACGAGGGCCGGAGGACCAGTTCAGGATCAGACGGGGACCTCTACAGCTTCCACTCTGCTATGGCTGAGCATGAGGATCTGCTCTCTGACATCCAGCAGGCTATCAGGGAGAATCATGGGAACATTGATGTGGTCCTGGATAGAGTCTCTGTCCTTTTGGCTGAGGGGATCACCTCCTCCACCTCAGATGGTGATTTTAAACCCTTAGCCCCTGACCCCTCTGACCCACAAGAGGTAGGCTCCACTCTGGGGCCAGACCTGGACAAGGGACAGGTTGATGAGACACCTGTTGGTACTGATACTGCAGGACCAGACCAAAGTGCTGAGCGTAGACAATCAGAGGCAGAGGGAGGTGTTGCATCTGGCGCATCTGGGGGGGAGTCAGATTTAGGTTCACCAAGCGACAGTGGCCCCTCGGCGGACCAGGACACAGAGAGGAGCAGCGGCAGCCCCCTGCCCAAAACCACCAGCACCTACAGCTTCCCAGACACCAACTCCACTACCATGTCCTATGAGAGCGCTTAGGAGACTCAGGACGACCTGGAGAGCCCGGTGCTGACCTCCCAGCTGACTCAGAGCCAGAGCTTTGATGGGGAGGGTAGCACCATCGAGGTGGTCAGGTGCATCAGGTTGGGACCGGACTCAGGTTCATCCAGAAGTGTGAGTAACATGGAACTGACTGTGGAGAGGGAGGAGGAGGGGGACAGGGGGAGAGACTTCCGGTCCCTGAGCAGGAGAAAGAGTAGCTATTCTGTCTCTCTGCTGACGAGTTACAGTTCCAAAAGATCTCTTTCCAGAAGGATGTCCTCCACTACCTCCACTGTCAAGCCCTGTCCTCCCATCCACCCTTCCTACATGAAGACCACCACCAGGCAGCTGACCTCACCCATAGGCTCTCCAAGCCAGAGCCCCCATATCCCCCGTAGGATGGAGCCAGGCTCTGGGGCAGGGTATGGGGGCCACAAGGCCCAGAGATGGAGAACCACCAGGCAGAGGTCCTGCAGTATCGCCGGGCCTTTCAGTCATTCAGCAGACTGGACCAAGGTTCTGGAAGGCCTCAGATTGAGGCATGAGTCCGCCACTGACCTCCAGGAACATGGGGGGTCAGAAAGAGGCTTTCCAGGGGCGAGTCTGACCCTAGGCACCAGACGAGGTGTCCAGACCACCACCACAGAGCCCTATCAAGATGTCTTTTCTGGTAAGTGACTGAGCATAGAGGTGCTTCATGACTTATAGAGTAACATTGGTAGAAAGGAGGTAAATAATGTGGTTAGATGCCTTTTTTCCCAACAGGGATTTGACCTGTCAAGCTTGATGATGAGTTCATCACTCCATCCGGTCAGCCAGACCATCTTGTTATCCAGTCTGGCCCTGGTTTAGCTATTTGAGTAATCAGTCATGTGACATGGATCTGTTTCAGAGAACATCAACAGCAGAGTTTAAATTGGGACAGAGGTCACTAGCATGTAAACTGTTTCGCTGGTGCTGCTGTTGTTGTTTGTTCATGTGTGTGACTTTAAAGGCAAAAAAAATCACTTTCCTTTGGATAAGGTTGTTCATCATAATACTGTATGTGTATCTAAAGAGTGTTGGTTATTGCATGAAATAGGAGCAACATCGCATTTTAGCAATGTTCTTTTAATCACACTGCTAGATAGCTAAAATAGCTTTGAATTATTATTACCTGTCCAAAAACCATCCATTGTGTCACGACTTCCTCCGAAGCTGTCACCTCTCCTTGTTTGGGCAGGCTTCGGCGTTCGTCGCCACTGCCGCTACGCATCTCATCATTCCATTTGTTTTGTCTTGTTTATTACACACACCTGGTTCATCTCCCCTCATCAGTACCTGTATAAATATTCCCTCTGCCCCCTTGTCTTTGTGTGTGATTGTTTATTTTGGAGGATAGTGAAGCTCGGTGGAGCTCTGTGTATTTTGTATCACCGGGATATTTCCCTGTGTGCCGTGTATTTCCAGTGCGCCTGTTATGCGCACTAGAGTGTTTTGACGCATTTCTGCGTAACTCTGTAATTGCGGAATAAAGCCTGTTATTCTGTGATTTACCCTCCTGCGCCTGACTCCTTCGACATCACCTCATCACAGAATCACACACCAGACATGGAGTCAGCAGGAGAGGAGCACATGCCTGGAGTCGTGGCACGGGTCAGGGAGCATTCAACAATTCTAGCCAGCTTAGGAGAAGCGATGGATCGGGAACAGCTGAGGGACCGGATCCAGCCACCCACACCCCAGCACCCAGAGGGATCCATATATCCCGACCACGGGATTTCAACGGGACAGCTACCCTCTGCCAGGGATTCCTCCTACAACTGGAGTTATACTATTCGAACATCAGCCCGGCTCTATCGGAGCGGGAGAAGGTGTCCACCCTCATCTCCTGCCTCTCGGGGAAAGCTCTGGAGTGAAGGAGGAGCCGCTTTGGACAACTACGGGGAGTTCACTCGCCTCTTTCGGGCAGTCTTCGATCACCTGCCCGAAGGTAGAGAGGCGGGCGAGTGGCTGGCCCATCTGAGGCAGGGGACGAGGACCGCGCAGGACTTCGCTCTGGAATTTCAGACTCTAGAGGATGGGTCCGGGTGGAACGAGCGGGCCCTCATCGACCACTTCCGGTGCCATCTACGAGAGGATGTCCGAAGGGAGCTAGTCTGCCAGGACACCATTTTGTCCTTCAACCAACTGGTGGACATGGCCATCCAGTTGGACAACCTGCTGGCTGCTAGAGGACGTCCTGGAAGGGCCTGCCCATTCCAACCCCCCCCCCCCCCCCCCCCCATCCTGGATCCTGAGGTCATGGAGCTGGGTGGAGAGGCGATCTGGAAGAGCGGAGGACGACAGCGCCAGTGTCACTCTCGTGGCATGAGTGGACATTCACCTGCACGCGGCTGTCAGCGTTCTTTTGGGTCTGGAGGCGGCAGGCAGGGCACTCTCGTGTCACCCCAGGTATCGAACACACACACACGTTCAGAGCCCTCTGCTGCGCACTGTACCCTACACATCCACATTCCTGATTACACAGTGTAAGGCGCTGGTCAAATCATGCGCAGCTGGGAACTTTATGGACAGGTCATTTGCACATAGTCTAGGCATTACATTGGTTCCCCTATCCATTCCACTCCCCATCAGAGCACTTGACAGTCGACCATTAGGGTCCGGGTTTGTTAGGGACAATACGTTATAGTTATCCTCTATCCCTTATTCCATCTGTGATCGAGTCAATGCATGGGGCGCGCTTCTTCACAAAATTAGATCTCCGGAGTGCGTACAACCTGGTGCGTGTCCGAGAGGGGGACGAGTGGAAGACAGCATTCAGCACAACAACGGGGCATTACGAATATCTGGTGATGCCCTACGGTTTGATGAATGCTTCCAGTCCTTTATGAACGAGGTGTTTCAGGACATGCTTGGTCGCGGTGTAGTGGTATACATCAATGACATTCTGGCGTATTACGCTACGTGCGCCGAGCACGTGTCCCTGGTTAGCAAAGTGCTGCCCCGACTGTTGGAACATGACCTTTATGCCAAGGCAGAAAAGTGTCTGTTTTTCCAACAGTCCATCTTCTTCCTCGGATACCGCATTACCACCTCAGGTGTGGAGATGGAGGGAGATCGCATTTCAGCCGTGCATAATTGGCCAACTCCAACCACGGTCAAGGAGGTGCAGCGCTTTATTGGCTTTGCCAACTACTATCGGAGGTTTATCCGGAGCTTTGGCAAGGTCGCAGCTCCCATCACATCTCTGTTGAAGGATGGGCCTTCCCGGCTTTGCTGGTCTGCTGAGGCTGACAGGGCCTTCAGAAACCTGAGGGTTCTGTTCACCTCAGCCCCAGTACTGGCCCATCCCGATCCATTACTACCGTTTGTAGTGGAGGTGGATGCATCCGAGGTAGGGATAGGCGCTGTCCTATCTAAACGCTCGGGCACGCCACCCAAGCTCCGCCCCTGTGCCCTCTTCTCCAAGAAGCTCAGCCCGGTGGAGCAGATCTACGACGTTGGTGATCGGGAGCTGTTGGCTGTTGTCCGAGCCCTGACCGTGTAGAGGCACTGGCTCGAGGGTGCGAAACACCCTTTCCTCGTCTTGACAGACCACCGTAACCTGGAGTACATCCGGGCAGCGAGGAGGCTGAAACCTCGCCAGGCCTGGTGGGCCCTATTCTTCACCCGGTTAGATTTGACTCTGTCTTACATCCCAGGTACGAAGAGCGTGAAGGTAGATGCACTCTCACGGCTGTACGACACAGAGCAGAGGCCCATAGACAACACCCCCATACTCCCGGCCTCCTGCATTGTGGCGCTGGTAGTGTGGGCGATGGACGTGGACATAGAGCGGGCGCCAACTCCACCTCAGTGTCCAGCTGGGCTGCAGTACGTGCCGTCTATTGTCCGTGGCCGTCTGATCTATTGGGCACACAATTCCCCCTCCTCTGGTCACCCAAGTATCGGTCGTACAGTGCACTGCCTGACCGGAAAGTACTGGTGGCCTACCTTGGCTAAGGACGTGAGGGTGTATGTCTCCTCCTGCTCGGTGTGCGCCCAGAGTAAGGCACCTAGGCACCTCCCAGTGGGTAAGTTACAGCCCTTACCAGTTCCACAACGGCCATGGTCCCACTTGTGTATTGACTTCCTTACTGATCTTCCCCTCTCTCAAGGTAACACCACAATCCTGGTCGTTATGGACCGCTTTTCCAAAGCCTGCCGCATCCTTCCTCTTCCCGGTCTCCCCACGTCCCTGCAGACTGCAGAGGCCCTGTTTACACACATCTTCCGGCACTACGGGGTACCAGAGGACATAGTGTCTGACCGGGGTCCCCAGTTCACAGCCAGGGTCAGGAAGGCGTTCATGGAACATCTGAGGATCTCGGTCAACCTGACCTCTAGTTTCCACCCTGAGTCTAATGGGCAGGTGGAATGAGTGAATCAGGATGTGGGTAGGTTCCTGCGTTCCTACTGCCAGGACCGGCCGGGGGAGTGGTCGGTGTTCTTGCCATGGGCCGAATATGCCCAGAACTCTCTCCGACAATCCTCCATTAACCTAACGCCATTTCTTCCACCGAGGCTCCTGCGGTGGATGACTTGTTTCGGCATGCAGAGGAGATGTGGAACGCTGCTCACGTCCAGCTCCAACGCGCCGTGCATCGCCAGAAGGCCAACGCTGACTGCCACCGCAGTGAGGCCCCGTCTTTGTACCGGGTGATCGGGTCTGGCTCTCAACCCAGAATCTGCCCCTCCGCCTGCCCTGCCGGAAGCTGAGCCCGCGGTTTGTGGGGCAATTCAAAGTCCTGAGGAGAATAAACAAGGTTACTTACAGGTTACTACTCCCTCCTGATTACCGCATTAACCCCTCGTTCCATGTGTCTCTCCTCAGGCCGGTGGTGGCTTGTCCGCTCCAGGAGTCTGAAGTGCGGGAGTTCCCTCCGCCCCCTCTGGACATCGAGGGGGCCGTGGCGTACTCTGTCTGTTCCATCCTGGATTCGAGGCGTCAGGTGGGGGGCCTTCAGTACCTCGTGGAGTGGGAGGGGTACAGTCCGGAGGAGCGGTGCTGGGTCCCGGAGAGGGATATCCTCGATCCCTCCCTGTTGCGGGATTTCCACCGTCGCCATCCGGCTCGCCCTGCTCCGCGTCCTCCTGGCCGTCCCTGAGGCCAGTGTCGGCGCGCTGCTGGAGCTGCGCATCAAGGGGGTGAATTACCCTCCTGCGCCTGATTCCTTCGACATCACCTCATCACACGTTGCAAGGACGAGAATACATTTTATATTGCTAAATGTATTTTTGCTACCTGGCGAACAAGAGCCAATCGTAATCACAACGTGGTAAAAACTACTTTGCAGCGTCACGAGGGATTACATTTTTTTTCCCTTCTGGATTTTTATTCCTTCGTTGTTAATGGTATGTAATTGACATTTGCCTCTATTTGCATTAGGAAATGTGACATTTAAACAAACTTTTTTTCTGTGGCTCACGTTTTCTAATTGAAGTTATAACATGTTTATAATAGCATTATAGATTATTTATAGTATGACTGTTTTAATTGAATCACCGGCCAGTAGAACATGGATCAGTAGGGGAGTACTTCGCCTCACCAAAAGCTCCTCTGGTCACAATGCCATGATTGTGAGCTCTCTGGATTAGAACATCAGGCCTTCCCTGTCTCTGTCTAGGCCTGTTCACAGATTTTCAGAATATCACAGTGATTTCTATAATAATTCCACCATCTATGACTCTATAATAATCCCATAATCTACGACTTCTCCATCACTTTCATACCACAAAAAGCTGAGCAATGTGGTATGATTATTCCTCCCCTCCTCCTAAGACTGATTGACCAGGATGGTCCTGATAAATACTGTTATTTTGATGGTTTATACAGTACTGTTTAAATGCCAGCTGTTAATGTGAAGGTTAAACCGTGGCATTTGCAGAAATACATTTTCATCATGTGATTTCTAAGTAGGTGCCCTCTTTTGTCCTCCTCAGGACCAATAGATGTTGTACAGAGCAGCTGAAAACACTGTATTTATAAAATAATAGTACTAACACAATACTGTTTTACAGTACCATATTTAAGTGATAATACCAGAGAAGCCGGTGTTTGGAGGATATATTGGCACGGGTGTTGTTAGGCCCGAGATGAAATAACACACAGTGATACATTAACTATTTGGCCCTGTGTTGCTCAGTTTGTAGAGCATGGCGTTTGCAATGGCAAGATTAGGGGTTCGATTCCCACGGGGGGCCAGTATGAAAATGTATGCACTAACTGTAAGTCGCTCTGGATAAGAGCGTCTGCTAAAATGACTAAAATGTGGGAGCTAAAACTATCCATACAAACTGTTTCTAGTTTTGTTTCAGCGTTTTGTAGGCTAATTAGCACGTCTTCCTCTCTCCCCATGTAATGATGTACATGTAGATCAAAAGCTCAAGGCTGAATCTGAATCTGCATCGGTTATCTAACATCTCACCCTAGATAAAGCCTCTGCTCTCATCAATATTCATGTCTTTATCTGCAGTATCTATATCTTCATAACAGTGCGTGTCATCCCTAGATATCTGTTGTCTGAATCTCTCTCTATCTCTTTCTCTCTCTCTCTCTCTCTCTCTCTCTCTCTCTCTCTCTCTCTCTCTCTCTCTCTCTCTCTCTCTCTCTCTCTCTCTCTCTCTCTCTCTCTCTCTCTCTCTCTCTCTCCCCCAGGTCACGCCTTGTTGGAGCGTCTATGTCTGCAGGAGGGGGAGGGAGCAATGGATGAGGCTGAGAGGTTGTGTTGTTGTATGATGGGCATGGGGCTGCTGCAGCCCCTCAGTGATTGTTTCAGAGAGCAGCATGAAGACATTGTCACTCCAGTCACAGCCACATTTAATGTGAGAACCAACTCTTTACTTACTAACATTGTTTCACTGCTGCCATTTCAACAAATATTACACTGATCATAGGCTGATAGCCTGAACTGGCTAGTATTGCTCACTGGATGAGAGTATAATTAATGTTAACAAATGTATTCTGGGTTATGTATCAACTACAGTATCTACCTACCTATCTACTCTATCTCCATATCTGGATGTTTGAATCTTTAAGCATTTAATTATGTTGAGAACCGTTCCTATGGTCAGCCTTACCATATGAAAGCTGATTTCATAAATGTTTAAATAATTTTCCCAGTAACGCTTCACAGATGTAATCTCATGTGTGTGATTATAATATTTCCAGCATAGTTCATCAGGAACGCACGCTGTCGGTGCCATTTTTATCACATGTCCCTTGCAGCTGAATCCACTCAGCTGTAACGTTCTTAGGCTGAGGATTCAAATATAGATTTTGCGGGTTAGTATTTTTTCATAACTAGAAATAGATGTCTTATATTTTCTGTTAGCATGTGTGTGTGTGTATGCATGCGTGTATAAGTGTGTACGGGTGTGTGTGTGCTTCCTGTTGCAGTATCTTCATAGGGACTGAACATTGTGTCGTGAGGCAATGGGTTGTCATGTTTCCTTTCTTGGTGTGCCATGTGATCAAAGTATGCTTTTCTTTTACTCAGTCACCAAAGCAGAATTTGTGTCTGAACAGATGAGCATTCGTCTCTGGCTGCACTGTGCACCTTCCCCCTTAGATACACTCACATACATAAACACATTGTCACAAACACTCAGTCATAACATGCACACAAACTCACATAGAAAAACAGAACATCCCTGGGCACACACAAATATAGTACAGTACAAACAGGCACACACAAATTCACACATGCTTTCAGTCAGTACACACACACACACACATGCATGCCTTACAGACAGTCATTCTGTGACACACACACACACACTGCTTGCGTAGAACATCTGCTGACCGCGTTGCATAAGAGCCCCACGTGCCCAGGGCTCAGGCTGCTCTTACCCAGCAGAAGGCTAACCGTGCCTGGGTTGGTTAGAGCATTTTGTCCCCTCTCACTGTCTCTAACTGTTCCTGGGATTGGACCCGCAGCTGCATTATTCAGCTTGAAAAGAATCAACCTCTCCCTGTGTCTTTTGACAATGCTGCTCTCTCTCACCGGTTGTTCTCCCTTCTCTCTCATTTTCTCTCTCTCTCGCTCTCTCTCGCTCTCTCTCTCTCTCCCTCTCACTCCCTCTCTCGCTCTCTCTCTCTCCCTTTCTGTCTCTCCCTATCTTTCTCTGTCCTCACTGTCCTCACCCCTGTAAAATAGTCAGCCTTGTTTGACTCCCTGAGATATAATCCCTCCCTAGTGAATCTGCATTGTCTCTAGAGGGAAAATATTGATACATTTTATTAAGGTTGATGTGATAGAGTAGGAGGCTATGACAGGTTTTGATCATGTTTTACTCTCTGTCTGTACTGTAGTTGTGATTCTGGCTTCAGCAAAATCCGTGGTTCTGGTTAATGTTTTGTTCTGGCATTGACTGCACAGAGAAAGCAATACCTAAGGTCAGCTCTCAGACTGGAACAAATTGCATATTTGCTCCCTAAAGTGTAGACACACACTCATACATACTCAAACACACACTCTTGACATGCACAGTGTTGGAATGGCTTGAGATTCTTACATAAATGGATAGTCATTATGTAATGGTCTCTGAATTATCAGATTGATTTACAATATGTTCAGATTCATACTAAATTGGGCCCTTAGAATTGCCCAATTGTATGTGGTTATGTAGTCAATTGCAAGGGTTGGTGTGAGGTGTGACCCAGGTGCGGTGCAGGATTGACAGTAGGCAGTAGGCAGAGATGGTGAAACAATGATCTTTACTGGTGGTCCCAATACCAGGATACAAAATAATGGACTTGTCACAATAAAATAAAGGAGGAGCAAATTGGTCTCCAAAAACAGGCTGACAGCAAAAATACAAAATACTAACTACGACTGAAACAACAATGAAACAGGGAGAACACTTCTCAAGTACCTGTACATACGTCTCGCGATCAGACACTGATTCGTACTGCTTGGCATCGAGAAACTAGCAGACAAAACTGAGCAAGGGAATACAGGGAGGTGAGGGAATAAATACACAGGTGAACAGGTAGACACAGGTGACACCAATAGGATACAGATTAGTCCAGACTGTGAGTGAGGAGGTGCCTAAGGTTGTTGGAGGAGGACACCGAGTGGGTCGTTCCGGAACTGCGACCCCCTCCTATAACAGTCAATATCATATTACTGTGCCGTGCTGAAACTGCTTGCTGCACTGGAACCATTTCCCAGGAAAATAATTTGTTCAGCTGTTAAGGAATACGCTCTCATGCACTAAGCGGAACTAATAAAATATACACAGTAACAAGAATACTTTTCATACCTCAGATTAATGAGATTGGCTTTGAAGGCAGTGTTTACTTTTAGCCTCTTGCAATTTGCCACAGGTTCCATTCTACAATAGGTAGTATTGTGCTTAGCAAGCACAGTACCTTACCTCACTTTTGAAAAGTAGACATTTGAATTGGTTCAAATCGTAAAGTGAAAGCCCTCTCTATTTGGCATTGTTGGTGGATGTCATCTGAACTGGAATCAACAGACATAGGTTGTCTGGGTTGCTTTATTGATGTATTCCTTGAAGATAAGTAAAAAGTGATTAAATATGAATGGATTTCCTGTTTGTCTGTCAGGTAATGACTGTACGTTAAATAGATATCTGCCCTTTTGTCTGTGCGCTGTGCTGTTCTCGCCTATTTTTCTTTATTTGTGTGAATAATTAAACCAAATCAATTTAAATGATGTACACTACCAGTCAAAAGTTTGGTCACACCTACTCATTTGAGGGTTTTTCTTTATTTTTTACTATTTTCTACATTGTAGAATAATAGTGAAGACATCATAACTATGAAATACCACATATTGAATAATGTAGTAAACAAAAAAGTGTTAAACAAATCAAAATATATTTTAGATTCTTCAAATAGCCACCCTTTGCCTTGATAACATCTATGCACACTCTTGGTATTCTCTCAACCAGCTTCATGAGGTAGTCAACTGGAATGCATTTCAATTAACAGGTGTGCCTTCTTAAAAGTTAATTTGTGGAATTTCTTTCCTTCTTTATGTGTTTGAGCCAATCAGTTGTGTTGTGACAAGATAGTGGGGGTATACAGAAGATAGCCCTATTTGGTAAAAGACAAAGTCCATATTATGGCAAGAACAGCTCAAATAAGCAAAGAGAAACGACAGTCCATCATTACTTTAAGACATGAAGGTCAGTCAATACGGAACATTTCAAGAACTTTGAAAGTTTCTTCAAGTGCAGTCGCAAAACCCGTCAAGCGCTATGATGAAACTGGCTCTCATGAGGACCGCCACAGGAACGGAATTGTGTTGTGTCCATACTTTTGACTGGTTCTGTAAGTAAAATGATATATGTAAAATGTTCCAGTTATGATCGCTTGTAGTATTCACCTGGTTATTATATGGTGTTACTATATGGTACTGTGTTACTGTGAATAAAATGTAGATCTAAAAGTACATACTGAAAAATGCATGTTCATTGCCTTCTCTCCCCCAGGACGACCAGCTGTATACCTGGGCTACCTTCGGCCTGCCCTCCCACATCTGGGAGTCCCATGAAGGGCATACCCCAGGCCACATCCAGGTCCTGTGGCCCCCTCCACAGCCAGCTCGGGTATGTTATCAACTCTGTTTATGTAGTGTACCACCACAAGCAGAGCTACAGAGAAGAACATTTGTTCAAACAGTGTGACATTGAAAATGTTGCGCCACTTTCAACCGAATGGAAAATTACTGTGAGTGCCTCAGGAGGATAACAGATCTTTGTGGTCTTTTATTTGCTCTTACAACTGTAACTGTACAGGCCTCCTGTAGCTCAGTTGGTAGAGCATGGCGCTTGCAACGCCAGGGTTGTGGGTTCGATTCCCACGGGGGGCCAGTATGAAAAATGTATGCACTCACTAACTGTAAGTCGCTCTGAATAAGAGTGTCTGCTAAATGACTAAAATGTAAAAATGTAAGTGAATGAATACCCAGGCCCAGACAGGTTTTGATACAATACTGTCCTCTTGTGGTTATATTTTGTATATTGACAGAGCATGTAGATGTTACTACCGTTCTTCCAACAGAGGTCAGGCTTATCCTATAGTAACTATACAGGTATCAAACATATTCACCCCCCTTGGATTTTTTCACATTTTTGTTGAATTACAAAATGGGATTGATATGGATTTAATTATTGTTGTTTTTTGTTATTGTTCTACACAAAATACTCCATAATGTCAAAGTAAAAAGAAAATTCTACAAATGTTTACAAATTAATACAAATTAAATTACTAAAATATTGTTGTTGCATAAGTATTCACCCCCTTTTTTTAGGCAAGCCTAAATTAGTACAGGAGTAAAATGTATCTTAACAAATCACATAATAAGTTACATGGACTCACTCTGTGTGAAATAATAGGAATTGACATGATTTTTCAATGACAACCCCTTCCTCTGTCCCACATATGTACAACATCTGTAAGGTCCCTCAGTCAAGTATTGAATTTCAAGCACAGATTCAACTACAAAGTACAGGGAGATTTTTGAAAGCCTCATAAAGAAGGGCAGTGATTGGTAGATGGGTAATAATAACAAATCAGACATTGAATATCTCTTTAAAATACAGGGCCTTCGGAAAGTATTCAGACCCCTTGACTTTTTTCCACATTTTGTTAAGTTATAGCCTTATTCTAAAATATATTAAATAAAAAAGATTCCTCATCAATCTACACACAATACTCCATAATTATAAAACAAAAACAGGCTTTTATACATTTTTGCAAATTTATTTAAAAAAAAAACAGGAAATACCATATTTACATTGCTATGAGACTCGAAATTGAGATCAGGTGCATCCTTTTTCCATCGATCATCCTTGAGATGTTTCTACAACTTCATTGGAGTCCACCTGTGGTAAATTCAATTGATTGGACATGATTTGGAAAGGCACACACCTGTCTATATAAGGTCCCACAGTTGACAGTGCATGTCAGAGCAACAACCAAGCCATGAGGTCGAAGGAATTGTCCGTAGAGCTCCGAGACAGGATTGTGTCGAGGCACAGATCTGGGGAAGGGTACAAAAAAATGTCTGCAGCATTGAAGGTCCCCAAGAACACATTGGCCTCCATCATTCTTAAATGGAAGAAGTATGGAATCACCAAGACTCTTCCTTGAGCTGGCCTCCCGGCCAAACTGAGCAATCAGGGGAGAAGGGCCTTGGTCAGGGAGGTGACCAAGAACCCGATGGTCACACTGATAGCACTCCATAGTTCCTCTGTGGAGATGGGAGAACCTTCCAGAAGTACAACCGTCTCTGCCACCAATCAGCACGCCACCAATCAGTCCTTTATGGTAGAGTGAGCAGACGGAAGCCACTCCTCAGTAAAAGGCACATGACAGCTCGCTTGGACTTTGCCAAAAGGCACCTAAAGACTCTCAGACCATGAGAAACAAGATTCTCTGGTCTGATGAAACAAAGATTGAACTCTTTGGCCTGAATGCCAAGCGCCACGTCTGTAGAAAACCTGGCACCATCCCTACTGTGAAGCATGGTGGTGGCAGCATCATGCTATGGGGATGTTCTTCAGCGGCAGGGTCTGGGAGACTAGTCAGGACTGAGAGAAAGATGAACAGAGCAAAGTACAGAGAGATTCTTGATGAAAACCTGCTCCAGAGCGCTCAGGACCTCAGACTGGGGTGAAGGTTCACCTTCCAACAGGTCAACGACCCTAAGCACACAGCCAAGACAACGCAGGAGTGGCTTCAGGACAAGTCTCTGAATGTCCTTGAGTGGCCCAGCCAGAGCCCGGACTTGAACCCAATCTAACATCTCTGGAGAGACCTGAAAATAGCTGTGCAGCAACGCTCCCCATCCAACCTGACAGAGCTTGACAGGATCTGCAGAGAAGAATGGGAGAAACTCCCCAAATACAGGTGTGCCAAGCTTGTAGCGTTATACCCAAGAAGACTTGAGGCTGTAATCGCTGCCAAAGGTGCTTCAACAAAGTACTGAGTAAATCATCTGAAAACGTATGTAAATGTGATATTTCCATTTTTTATTCATAATAAATTTGATACCATTTCTAAAAACCAGTTTTTGCTTTGTTATGATGGGGTGTTGTGTGTGGATTGATGAGGGGAAAAAACAATGTTATCCATTTTAGAATAAGGCTGTAACGTAACAAAATGTGGAAGATGTCAAGGGGTCTGAATACGTTCCGAATGCACTGTACACGGTCAAGTTAGAAATTATGCTATGGATGATATATTAAACCACCCAGACACAACAAAGATACAGTCGTCCTTGTGAACTGAGCTGCAGGACAGGAAGGAAACTGATCAGGGATGTCACCATGAGGCCATTGTGACAGAGTTCAATGGCTGTGATGGGAGAAAACTGAGAATGGATCAACAACATTTTAGTTACTCCACAATAATGACCGAAATGACAGAGTGAAAAGAATAATACAAATATACAAAATAAAAATAGGCACTAAAGTTATACTGCAAGAAAACACTGCAAAAGAATACAGTTTATGTCCTAAATGCAAAGCCTTATGTTTGGGGCAATCCAACACAACACATCACCTCCTTATTTCCAAGCATGGTGGTGGCTGCATCGTGTTATAGGTATGCTTGACATTGGCAAAGACTGAGGAGTTTTTCAGGATAAAAAGAAATGGGATGGAGTTAAGCACAGGCAAAATCCTAGAGGAAAACCTGCTTCAGTCTGCTTTACACCAGACACTGGGAGAGGAATTCACCTTTCAGCAGGACAATAACCTACAACACAAGGACAAATCTACACTGGAGTTGCTTACAAAGAAGACAGTGAATGTTCCTTAGTGGCCAAGTTACCATTTTGACTTCAATCTGCTTGAAAATCTATTGCCAGACTTGAAAATTGCTGTCTAGCCATGAACCCCAACACATTGACAGAGCTTAAAGAATTTGGAAAGAATACGACTATCTAATCAACCGATATTAGTGTTCCATTTTTTAGATTTGTTTTCACTTTGACATTACATAGTATATTGTGTAGACCTTTGACAAAAAAAAAGACAAATAAATCCATTTTAATCCCACTTAGTAACACAATAAAATGTGAAGAAATCCAAGGGGGTACTTATGATACCCACTGTAGGTCATTGTCAGAAGAAGGTAAATTCTTCATATCCTGCTGAGCTTTTTAGCTTGTAATGGTCTCCTGAACTTCACTTAAAAATACTTGAACTGTAAACTCAACACAAACTGTAGAGTAACTATAGACATGGCTGGAATATGTTAATCTAACTCTGGGCTCTGCGCTCTTCACATTGCCTCTTTGAAGCTCATTGAGACTTTGATCGTCTCGTGGGTTAAATCTTCGAAGAGTCTCCCCATCTCTGTTCTATCTACCCATGAACTACAAGCCTGGAGTCTAGACATGTGGCCTTCCCTGACCCTGACCTTACTCTCAACTTACCATGGTCCATAACCCTGCAACCAAACGCGCCCAGTTGTGTGTGTTTATCCTTTTCACTCAGGGTGTGGCATGTCACATCCACTAGGTTTTAACTCTGAGAAATTATTCAAAATATAGATTTTTTTGTAAGCATGTGGTATACTAGGACTAGAAAGCACATTCCTTGAAAAGTGTTAATGTAATCCTGCTTGACTGTTTACATCCTTCAAGAAGGGCTTCGAAACATCACTTTATGTTATATTAATATGTACAATGTTTTGTATTTTTTATTGCTGCTGCTTGAAGAGTGGGTCTGAAATTCTTTTTTCCTGACAGAATTCGTCAAAGTCAGGGAATCTGTGACAAAAGGATAATGGCAGTGATATTCCAGGGCTGGAGCAGACCATCAATGACTTGAGGATAAAGATTGCAGCACTGGAAATCCAGCATGCATCTCTGGAGATGGCATTCCACTCTAAGGAGAGTGGGGATAGGGACAATACTGTGGCCTTGGGGGGTGTCAACCACACATGGAAGAAGAGGATGGAGATTTCCGTACAGACATCACCTGTGAAGGAGGGCTTTAGATGTGAAGTGCCTTTCAAGGGAGGGTCAATCCCCTCCTCAGCCTCTGTCCCACCAATCTCCTCCTCCTCCCTCCCCAACCCTGGCTTTGTCTGTACCTGCCAACAGCAGCAGCAGAGTGGTACCCAGCCCCCACCTCCTCCCACCCCAGGTGTATCCCCTCCTCCAGCTCATCCTCCTCCTCCTCCTCCTCCTCTACCTCAGCTCTCTGGAGGGGCCCCCACCACCTCCACCCCCACCCCCTCTCCCTGGTGGGGCTGGTCCTCCTACTCCTCCACCCCCTCCTCCTCCTTTACCAGGTATGGGTGGACCTTGTCCCCCACCTCCACCCCCTCCCCTGCCAAGCTTTGGACCTCCACCCCCACCCCCTCCACCAGGTATGGGCCCCCCTCCTCCGCCCCCACCCCCCGGCAGTGGACCTCCTTCTACCCCAGGCTTTGGCCCTCCTCCCCCTCCCGGTGGTTTCATGGCCTCCATGGCCCAGGTTGCTGGCCCCCAGAAGGCACCCACCGAGCCCCCCAAGCCCATGAAGCCTCTCTACTGGACCAGGATCCAGCTGCATGCTAAAAAGTAATTAGCAGTCCACTTTAGTCCAATTACTGTACATATACAAGCATTACATTTGCCTTCAGAATAGTCTCAATTATTCGGGGAATGGCATTCCACAGGGATGCTTGCTCATGTTGACTCCAATGCTTCCCACAGTTGTGTCTAGTGGATTGGATGTCCTTTGGGTGGTGGGCCATTCTTGATACACACGGGAAACTGTTGAGCGTCAAAAACCCAGCAACTTTGCAGTTCTTGACACAAACCAGTGCGCCTGGCACCTACTACCATAGCCCGTTCAAAGGCACTTAAATCATTTGTCTTTCCCTTTCACCCTCTGAATGGCACAGATACACAATCCATGTCTCAATTGTCTCAAGGCTTAAAAATCCTTCTTTAACCTTCTCCTCCCCTTCATCTACACTGATTGAAGTGGATTTAACAAGTGACATCAATAAGGGATAATAGCTTTCACCTAGATTCACCTGGTCATGGAAAGAGAAGGTGTTCTTAATGTTTGTACACCCAGTGTACAGTATATGTTTATCCATAGCTTCCTATTTAGCTATATGATATAACCATTAACATAACGCATGAATGAGAACGTATGCAAAAGATAGAGATGGATCATTGATATTTATGGAGGCTTTCCTAACCAAACTCTAGAATGGGTTTTCTACTGAAGATAAAGATCAGCCATATTATAGAGATGGGAACCCAGTGTAAAATTTGAGAAAGATGTGGGAAAGGAGTGCGTTGAGATGTTGTTTGAGTTGAAACAGGTGTTGTGATGTGCTTTGGTACTGATGTACTTGGTCCGACTCCACACATAAAGAAGTCATGCTATAATACTGCAGTACTGTGACATGTCAGAAAATAAGTCCACCTTATAATAACCAGTGGACACAGTGGTGGGTTATATAAAGTTATTAGAAATGTAATGTACTGTACAGTAGTTGTCTGAAGAGGTACTGTAGTAATTCTCTCTGCATTCTGGGGCTCGGTAAAGCACAACATGCCAGACACTTTGAATTGTAAGTTTGAGGTACACTCTTAGAAAAAAGGGTTCCAAAATGATTATTCAGCTGTCCCCATTGGAGAACCCATTTTGGTTCCAGGTAGAACCCTCTGTGGAAAGGGTTTTATATGGAACCCAAAAGGGTTCAACCTGGAACCAAAAGTGTTCTACCTGGAACCAAACAGGGTTCTTCAAAGGGTTGTCCTATGGGGACAGCCGAAGAAACCTTTTAGGTTCTAGATAGCAAATTTTTTCTAAGAATGTATTACATCAACAGGATAAAGATCCAATGATAGAGATGTAATACAGATCTTTCTGTCTTCTACTTGAGGGATGTGAGTGGTTCTCTGGTTTGGGAGAAGATCGAGGAGGCATCAGTGGATTTTTATGAGTTTGTCGAGTTGTTCTCCAAAAGTGCTGTGAAGGAGAAGAAGAAGCCAATATCAGACACCATCACCAAGCCCAAGGCCAAACAGGTACTGTACATTGTGTATGCGTGCGTGCGTTTGTCTGTCTGTCTGCCCTTGCCTGTCTTTGGTCCCATCCCTGTCTCTGTCTCTTGCTGTCTTCTCTCCGTCACTCTAATCACTTGCCTGGGAATGACATGAGGAAGTGATGTACTGTAGCCAGACAGTGATTATGTGATGTGAGGTCTGGCTCCCCCTGGCTCCCCCTGGCTTCCAGGCCCAGTGAGGCGCAGAGCCAGTGAGTGGCGTGTCGTGAATAAACCCACACCGATGACTGGGAGACACTGTGGCAGACCAGACTGCTGCTCTGTGGCTCTGACCCAATAGTCTTACATAGCTTCCCTTCCTAAGTTTCTACTGTCCTTTTCTGTCAGCCACTGATCTAAAAGGATTTGATAGATTGAAATACCATGGTAGAGCACTAGCCAGGCACTTCAGCTCTAAGTGGTCACAGGGGAAGGGAAGATATAAAATAGGGTTTAGTAGAGTATTGGGACAGAGCCTTGTGTGTGCTCTTCCCGCTAGTGTGAGAGGGACTACCTCTGTGTATTCAGTACAGACAAATTTGATGATTGATGAAGAGCAGAACCCCAGGCTGATTCACTTTTCATACTCTCTCTCAGTCAGAGCTGCAGTGAAGAACATACACTATATATACAATAGTATGTGGACACCCCTTCAAATTAGTAGATTCGGCTATTTCAGCCACACCCGTTCCTGACAGGTGTATAAAATTGAACACACCGCCATGCAATCTCCATAGACAAACATTGGCAGTAGAATGGCTTTACTGAAGAGGTCAGTGACTTTCAACGTGGCACCGTCATAGGATGCCACCTTTCCAACAAGTCAGTTCTGATTTTTTTTTGCCCTGCTAGAGCTGCCCCGGTCAACTGTAAGTGGTGTTATTGTGAAGTGGAATGTCTAGGAGCAACAATGCGAAGTAGTAAGCCACACAAGCTCACAGAACGGGACCGCCGAGTGCTGAAGTGCGTAGCGCGTTACAATCTTCTGTCCTCTGTTGCAACACTCACTATTGAGTTCCAAACTGCCTCTGGAAGCAACGTCAGCATAAGAACTGTTCATCTGGAGCTTCATGAAATGGGTTTCCATGGCCGAACGGCCGCACACAAGCCTAAGATGACCATGCGCAATGCCAAACGTCGGCTGGAGTGGTGTAAAGCTCACCGTCATAGTACTCTGGAGCAGTGGAAACGCGTTCTCTGGAGTGATGAATCACGCTTCACCATCTGGCTGTCCGATGGACGAATCTGAGTTTGGCGGAAGCCAGGATAGCGCTACCTGCCCGAATGCATAGTGCCAACTGTAATGTTTGGTGGAGGAGGAATAATGGTCTGGGGCTGTTTTTCATGGTTCGGGCTAGGCCCCTTAGTTCCAGTGAATGGAAATCTTAACACTACAGCATACAATGACATTCTAGACGATTCTGTGCTTCCATCTTTGTGCCAACAGTTTGGGGAAGGCCCTTTCCTGTTTCAGCATGACAATGCCCCCTTGCACAAAGCGAAGTCCATACAGAAATGGTTTGTCGAGATCGTTGTGGAAGAACTTGACTGGCCTGCACAGAGCCCTGACCTTAACCCCATCGAACACCTTTGGAATTAATTGGAACACTGACTGCAAGCCAGACCTAATCGCCAAACATCAGCGCCCGACCTCACTAATGCTCTCATGGCTGAATGGAAGCAAGCAATGTTCTAACATCTAGTTATAGCAGCAAAGAGGGGACCAACTCCATATTAATGCCCATGATTTTGGAATGAGATGTTCGACGAGCAGGTGTCCACATACTTTTGGTCATGTAGTGTATGTCTGGATTCAATCAACCAACCGACCAAACAACATTTGTCACTTGGATATGAACAATAACTTTTATGGTAATAATGTAATAACATTTGTAAAGCAATTTGTATGCATTACATCGAAAGTGCTAGACATGTCTCTTACAGTATATCTTCTCATGTAATTTATTCTCTTTTATGGTCTAATGGAGACCAAATTTGCCCTCTGGTATGTGATGCAGAGGTTTGTGGGTTTCTAGAAATCCGTGTTGGCCAACGTTGAAAACACCGTATTATTGGAATGATTGACTCATGACATAGGAAAGAAACAAATAAAATATAAAGGGATGGTTGACGTAAATTAAAGATCTTTTAAAATCGGAGATTCAAATTCTGCATGTGGTATGTATGAAAACGGAAATTATTTATATTTTTTTTAATGGATCATTTACTGTAAATTAATAAAACAGTTTATGATAGAATTGTTATGATATACTGCAGGAGAAGAGTTCTTCTGTATATCCTGTAAAAATGATATACAATGTGCTATAATGATCTTCACTATGAACAGACAATATTATACTGCTGTGTAGTACCACCATTATGCACCCATAATAGCTGTGTGTCTTTTAGCATTGAAATTAAATTATATTATGTCTACAGTGTGTTTGGAAACCATTTAGCTAGATATGTAGACGTGATAGACTGTCTCTGTTTTGGCTATGGCAGGAGGCAGAGGCAGCAGTTCAGTGATGTAACTGACTCCACGTTCTATTATTATAATTTTTTATCTCCACCTTAATACCCAGCAGCCACTCTGCATACTCAGCCTGACTGTGGTCACAGAGAGAGTCTACTGTGAACCATACAGGTGTACTATCTTAATTTAATCACTCTGTTGTCGCAGACAATTGTCCTGCATAGCAGGAAATGCTAACTTGTAGTGTATTCTAGGTTATAAAGGCTTCAAAAGTTTGTAATTTCCACTTTAAAATGTAAGACTTGATTTGCCCTAACTAAAAATGTATCAACCCTACAGAAATGTCAATTAATTATAATCCACATATTAAATCAGATGCACATGTTGTCACGCCCTGGCTCTAGGGACTCTTTTAAGTTGAGCCAGGGTGTGTAGAGTTTATGTTTTGTGCTCGTTGTGTCTAGTCTAGTTTTGTATATCTATGTTGGCCGGAGTGGTTCTCAATCAGAGGCAACGAGTATCAGCTGTTGCTGGTTGTCTCTGATTGGGAACCATATTTAGTCAGGTGGTTTTCCCACAGTGTTTGTGGGATCTTGTTCCGTGTTGGTTTGTGGTTTGCACCTGTGGACGTCACGTATCGATTTGTTGTTTTGTTCGTGTATCATTTAATAAATAAGTATGTTCACCTTCCACGCTGCGCCTTGGTCCTCTATATCCGACGATCGTGACACATGTCCTGTTGCTGCAGGATTATTTTCATGTTGTAATAAACTGGTCAAATGATGATAGAACATATGTACATGATACTGTCCATGGCTGTTGGTTTATCAATATATATTACAATATATATTTAAACTTCATCAGCAGTTGTAAATGTATGTATGATTTACTTGGCACAATATAAAAGAGATTGGTGATGGATAATTATTGTACAAGATAAACAATATTTTTTGACTCCACAATCTTAAGCAGTTAACTAAATATATTTGTGATCTGCCAATCTATTCTCACATTGTTGTTGTGACATTTGACTTTTAAATAGTGGCGTCTTGCCATTGATACACAGCCTTTAATGCCTTTTGTGGTTTGTGTAATGCCTTTTGTGGTTTGATAAACATATAATCACAGAGAAAAGAGCACAATGAACGTATACTACGGTATATTTAGTGGGCCATATTTGAAAATGCTTTCCTACTTATCTCCATATGAACTGCATTATCAGCGTGACAGGTTCAAGTGATAAATAAGTCAAGATGTCTCTAAGATCTACAAATTCTAGATCCCCTCATCGAAAATATGATGTATGTGGAGAACTGATCTAGAAGGGAAAACTGTAGTTTATAAATTTGCATAATGTTTGTGGGAGAAGTGGCAACAGTTCATTTCCCATAAAAGGAAAAGATAAAGGGAGATTGAGGTTCAGTTTCGACCTGTTTTGGACTTGATCCTCTTTCCCTTCACTGTTCTCTCTCTCTCTCTATCTTTCTTTCTCTCTCTCTCGCTCTCTTCCCATCTCTCGCTCTCTTACCATCTCTCGCTCTCTTCCCCTCTCTCGATCTCTTCCCATCTCTCTCTCTCTCTCGCTCTCTCTCTCTCTCTCTTGCGCTCTCTCTCGCACTCGCTCTCTCTCAGCTGGTGAAGCTGTTGAACACCAAGCGATCTCAGAACGTGGGGATCCTCATGTCTAGCATCCACTTGGACATGAAGGACATCCAGAATGGTGAGTGGTGATGCTCCACCTCAACCCACCTCACTCAACATAGCATAATGACGTCATTGCAACCAGTTTTGCCCAGGTCGTTTCCTCAATTCATGTTCCTCGGACAAAGCATTGAACTCTCTAGACTTTTGATTCATACAGTGCATTCGGAAAGTATTCAGACTCCTTGACTTTTTCCACATTTTGTTACGTTACACCCTTACTCTAACATGGATTAAATACACATTTTTCTTCATCAATCTACACACAATACCTCATAATGACAAAGCGAACACAGCTTTTTAGAAATGTTAGCAAAAGTATTCAGACCCTTTGCTATGAGACTCGAAACTGAGCTCAGGTGCATCCTGTTTCCAATGGTATTGATGAGTATACCACCTCAGTCACCGGGTTCATCAATAAGTGCAAACTATTACAGACTACAAAGGGAAACCCAGCTGCGAGCTGTCCAGTGACGCGATAAATGCCTTTTATGCTCACTTCGAGGCAAGCAACACTTAAGCATGCATGAGAGCACCAGCTGTTCTGGACGACTGTGTGATCACGCTCTCCATAATCAATGTGAGCAAGACCTTTAAACAGGTCAACATTCACAAGGACGCGGGGCCAGACATATTACCAAGACGTGTACTCAGAGCAAGCGCGGACCAACTGGCAAGTGTCTACATTTACATTTTCTACCTCTCCCTGACCGAGTCTGTAATACTAACATGTTTCAAGCAGACCACCATAGTTCCTGTGGCCAAGAAAGCGAAGGTAACCTGCCTAAATGACTACTGCCCCGTAGCACTCAAGTCAGTAGCCATGAAGTGCTTTGAAAGGCTGGTCATGGCACACATTTTACATTACATTTTAGTCATTTAGCAGACGCTCTTATCCAGAGCGACTTACAGTTAGTGAATACATATTTTTTTATACTGGCCCCCCATGGGAATCACACCCACAACCCTGGCGTTGCAAACGCCATGCTCTATCAACTGAGCTACATCCCTGCCGGCCATTCCCTCCCCTACCCTGGACGACGCTGGGCCAATTGTGCGCCGCCCATGAGTCTCCCGGTCGCGGCCGGCTGCGACAGAGCCTGGATTCAAACCAGGATCTCTAGTGGCACAGTTAGCACTGCGATGCAGTGCCTTAGACCACTGCGCCACTCAGGAGTACACATCAACACCATCATCGCAGAAACCCTAGACCAACTCCAATTTGCATACCGCCCCAACAGATCCACAGATGACGCAATCTCAATCGCACTCCACACTGCCCTTTCCCACCTGGACAAAAGGAACACCAATGTGAGAATGCTGTTCATTGACTACAGCTCAGCGTTCAACACCGTAGTGCCCACAAAGCTCATCACTAAGCTAAGGACCCTAGGACTAAACACCTCCCTCTGCAACTGAATCCTGGACTTCCTGACGGGCCGCACCCAGTTGGTAAGGGTATGCAACAACACATCTGCCACGCTGATCCTCAACACGGGGGCCCCTCAGGGGTGCGTGCTCAGTCCCCTCCTGTACTCCCTGTTCACCTACGACTGCGTGGCCAAGCACGACTCCAACACCATCATTAAGTTTGCTGACGACACAACGGTGGTAGGCCTGATCACCAACAACGATGATACAGCCTATAGGGAGGAGGTCAGAGACCTGGCATTTTGTGGTGCCAGGACAACAACCTCTCCCTCAACGTGAGCAGGAAAAGGAGATGATTATGGAATACAGGAAAAGGAGGGCAGAACACGCCCCCATTCACATCGGCGGAGCTGTAGTGGAACGGGTAGAGAGTTTCAAGTTCCTTGGTGTCCACATCACCAACAAACTCTCATGGTCCAAACACACCAAGAAAGTAATGAAGAGGGCACGACAACGCTTTTTCCCCCTCAGGAGACTGAAAAGATTTGGCATGGGTCCCCAGATCCTCAAAAAGTTATACAGCTGCACCATCGAGAGCATCCTGACCTGTTGCACCACCGCCATGTATGGCAACTGATCGGCATCCGACCGTAAGGCGCTACAGAGGGTAGTGAGTACAGCCCATCCAGGACCTACAGTGCCTTCGGAAAGTATTCAGACCCCTTGACTTTTTCCACATTTTGTTACGTTACAGCCTAATTCTAAAATTGATTAAATATTTGTTTTATTCTCTACACACAATACCCCATAATGACAAAGTGAAAATTGGTTTTTAGAAATTTTAGCAAAAAAAACTAAAACTAAAATACCTTATTTACATAAGTATTCAGACACTTTGCTATGAGACTCGAAATTGAGCTCAGGTGCATCCTGTTTCCATTGATCATCCTTGAGATGTTTCTACAACTTGATTGGAGTCCACCTGTGGTAAATTCAATTGATTGGACATGATTTGGAATGGCACACACCTGTCTATATAAGGTCCCACAGTTGACAGTTCAAATCAGAGCAAAAATCAAGCCATGAGGTCGAAGGAATTGTCTGTAGAGTTCCGAGATAGGATTGTGTCGAGGCACAGATCTGGGGAAGGGTACCAAAACATTTCTGCAGCATTGAAGGTCCCCAAGAACACAGTGGACTCCATCATTCTTAAATGGAAGAAGTTTGGAACCAGCAAGGTTCTTCCTAGAGCTGGCCACCCAGCCAAACAGAGCAATCGGGGGAGAAGGATCTTGGTCAGGGAGGTGACCAAGAACCCGATGGTCACAATGAGAGAGCTCCAGAGTTCCTATGTGGAGGTGGGAGAACCTTCCAGAAGGACAACTGTCTCTGCAGCATGCCACCAATCAGTCCTTTATGGTAGAGTGAGCAGACGGAAGCCACTCCTCAGTAAAAGGCACATGACAGCCCGCTTGGACTTTGCCAAAAGGCACCTAAAGACTCTCAGACCATGAGAAACAAGATTCTCTGGTCTGATGAAACCAAGATTGAACTCTTTGGCCTGAATGCCAAACGTCACGTCTGGAGGAAACCTGGCACTATCCCTACGGTGAAGCATGGTGGTGGCAGCATCATGCTGTGGGGATGTTTTTCAGCGGCAGGGACTGGGAGACTAATCAGGATCGAGGGAAAGGTGAATGGAGCAAAGTACGGAGAGATCCTTGATGAAAACCTTCTCCAGAGCGCTCAGGACCTAAGAATGGGGCGAAGGTTCACCTTCCAACAGGACAACAACCCTAAGCACACAGCCAAGACAACGCAGGAGTGGCTTTGGGACAAGCCTCTGAATGTCCTTGAGTGGCCCAGCCAGAGCCCGGACTTGAACCCGATCAAACATCTCTGGAGAGACCTGAAAGTAGCTGTGCAGCGACGCTCCCCATCCAACCTGACAGAGCTTGAGAGGATCTGCAGAGAAGAATGGGAGAAACTCCCCAAATACAGGTGTGCCAAGCTTGTAGCGTTATACCCAAGAAGACTTGAGGCTGTTATCACTGCCAAAGGTGCTTCAACAAAGTACTGAGTAAAGGGTCTGAATACTTATGTAGGTGTGATATTTCTGTTTTACATTTTTTATAATTTAGCAAACATTTATTAAAACCTGTTTCTGCATTGTCATTATGGGGTATTGTGTGTAGATTGATGAGGAAATAAAACAATTTATAATCATTTTTAGAATAAGGCTGTAACGTAACAAAATGTGGAAAAAATCAAGGGGTCTGAATACTTTCCGAATGCACTGTATGTGTTAAAAGGTTATTATAGTAAACTTAAAAACCAGAGTGGCGCAGTGGTCTAAGGCACTGCATCGCAGTGCTAGCTGTGCCACTAGAGATCCTGGTTCGTGTCCAGGCTCTGTTGCAGCCGGCCGCAACTGGGAGACCCATGGGCGGCGCACAATTGGTCCAGCATCGTCCAAGGTAGGGGAGGGTTTGGCCGGCAGGGATGTGGGTTTGTTTCCCACAGGGGGCCAGTATGAAAAAAACATGTATGCATTCACTAACTGTAAGTCGCTCTGGATAAGAGCATCTGCTATATGACATAAATGTAAAATGAAATTAAAACTAATCATGACATTTTTTTTGATTAAACTGAAATTAAATAATTAACATGAAAAAATACAAGTATACTGAAACTAATGTACAATAAAAACCATCATGAATTATGGTCTTTTTATTTTGTTATTTTTTGCCTTACAACCTGGAATTAAAATGGATTTTTGGGGGGTTTGTATAATTTGATTTACACAGCATGCCTACCACTTTGAAGATGCAAAATATTTTTTTATTGTGAAACAAACAAGAAATAAGACAAAAAAACAGAAAAATTGAGCGTGCATAACTATTCACCCCCCCCCCCCCCCCCCCCCCCCCCCCCCCCAATTATAGCTGGAAGTCTCTTGGGGTATGTCTCCATAAGCTTGACACATCTAGCCACTGGGATTTTTGCCCATTCTTCAAGGCAAAACTGCACCAGCTCCTTCAAGTTGGATGGGTTCCGCTGGTGTACAGCAATCTTTAAGTCAAACCACAGATTCTCAATTGGATTGAGGTCTGGGCTTTGACTAGGCCATTCCAAGACATTTAAATGTTTCCCCTTATACCACTCGAGTGTTGCTTTAGCAGTATGCTCAGGGTCATTGTCCTGCTGGAAGGTGAACCTCCGTCCAAGTCTCAAATCTCTGGAAGACTGAAACAGGTTTCCCTCAAGAATGTCCCTGTATTTAGCGCCATCCATTATTCCTTCAATTCTGACCAGTTTCCCAGTCCCTGCCAATGAAAAACATCCCCACAGCCTGATGCTGCCACCACCATGCTTTACTGTGGGGATGGTGTTCTCTGGGTGATGAGAGGAGTTGGGTTTGCGCCAGACATAGCGTTTTCCTTGATGGCCAAAAAGCTCAATTTTAGTCTCATCTGACCAGAGTACCTTCTTCCATATGTTTGGGGAGTTTCCACATTCCTTTTGGCGAACACCAAACGTGTTTGCTAATTTTTTTCTTTAAGCAATGGCTTTTTTCTGTCCACTCTTCCGTAAAGCCCAGCTCTGTGGAGTGTACGGCTTAAAGTGGTCCTATGGACAGATACTCCAATCTCTGCTGTGGAGCTTTGCAGCTCCTTCAGAGTTATCTTTGGTCTCTTTGTTGCCTCTCTGATTAATGCCCTCCTTGCCTGGTCCATGAGTTTTGGTGGGCAGCCCTCTGTTGGCAGGTTTGTTGTGGTGCCATATTCTTTCAATTATTTAAAAATGGATTTAATGGTGCTCTGTGGGATGTTCAAAGTTTCTGATATTTTTTTATAACCCAACCCTGATCTATACTTCTCCACAACTTTGTCCCTGGCCAATATTTATCCCCATAATGCAACACACTTTGAAAGGTGGTGACCAATAATGGTCACCGACTTCACAAAAGTGATCAGCTCGAAACCGCCCATTGACTTTCTATATTTTATAGACTCACAAGATTACATTGCCACAAGCAGTACAGGATATATTGGGCACATTTGATCAGAAACATTTTTAACTTTACAAAAACCATGTGATCAAAGGTCATGCAGTTTTTGATTAAGTTGCCTTCAAGTCACTGCAGTTGCTTCTCACCAACTGCACCATACAGCCAATGCCTGGCTAGTGGGAGGCACTATTTGTCAACAAATCATTAGGGACTTTTTGGTGGGGACAGGTATCCCCTGTAGCTCAGTTGGTAGAGCATGGCGCTTGCAATGTCAGGGTTGTGGGTTCGTTTCCCACGGGGGGCCAGTATGAAAATGTATGCACTCACTAACTGTAAAATGTAAAAATGTGTACCAATACGAACGTGACCAAAGACGTGACTAAAACAGGAACCAATTCTAAAGCTACAGGCAGAACAAAATGAAAGTGAAAAAAACCCCATTAAATCCCCACTTATCTCAAGCAGACAGATTTTGGGCGAGGTAAATCCTCTCGCTTTGCCTCTTCCTCTCTGACTTTGCTTTCACACAGTCACACAGAATATCTGCGCATGTGCACCGGTGCATTTCACGCTGCTACAACGTGGTAGCTACAGACCAAAACAGCTGAGAAGTTTAGCCTCGCAGTTCAAAGCTCCTGGTTGTTGCGTAAATTGACCCACTACTACTGTATATTTTGTGCATCTGGGTAACAAATAAGTACATTACTGTGATTGTTTTCAATTAAAATTGTCAAAAAGGAACAAAAATAGCTTCTTAGCAAAGTGCAATTTCTGAAGCAAGAATTTCGCTAAGACTCTCGGGGAGTGGTTTGAGTGGGGAAGGGAAAACTGAAAACGATCTGTTATTGGCAGGTTTGGAACTCTCTTTTTACTATTGGTCTATTAACTCATTCACTGCCTGGTGATGACTCCAGACAGTCTAATACTCCATCCCACCAAAACAGGTTGAAATTCCAGCTCTTACATTAAAAGGGCATTATCATAATTTTTCATAATTTCACAGTATTTTAGTGTGGAAATATATATAAATCACGTTTTTGACTGCTATCGGCCTTTAAACCTAACCTAACCTATGACCTGATCCATCACCTTATGCATTGTGGCAAGAAGGGACATCACAAAAAATGCACAACACATAAATGGCTCCTAGCCTCCCACTCACAGGCTACATTCTGTCCCTAAAACTGAAATGAAATAGAAACCTAAAATAAAATATATTTTTTTTTATAAAACTTAAATTTAAAAAACAAATAGTAAATCAGATCTGAAAACTAACTGAAACTAAACTGAATAAAAACGAATAATAATCTTAAAACGTATAAAAATAAAAAATAATATTAAAGCACAAAATTGATTAACTTTGATGTGTTACCCTCAAATGAGAGGCCTCATTACTGGGTTATCACTAGACTTTGAAGTATAAAGGATGTATGATTCTCTTTCTCTCTGTGTGTATCCATCTTTCATTTAGTTTACCATATTCACTTTTATCCTGCTCTTTCTCTTTCTCTTTCTCTCTCTCGTTCTCTAATCTATTGTCACTGCTCCTTAGTCTAAACGGCTTTGTTAAAACAGAACTACTCCAGAATGGATTCTCCTCCTGTTATAGTCCTCTGATTGCCTTGCCATTCATCCCTCATCCATGTGTCTAAACATTGCTTACAAGATCGACGCTGGGGACGGTCTGTCTATCCTATAAGTCCTCTCTATAGGCTTATCTCAACAGGAGGAGGTACTGAAATACATTTTGGGGATGTAGAAACGCTTTCAGTGTAAACTTAAATGACTAAAATCAAATAGAAACTATGTAGAAAATATAATGGACCTATATATTTTTTAATAATAGCCTATAAACTTTGAGAACAAACAGTGCCTATAGGAAGTCTACATCACCTTGAACTTTTTTCAAATTTGTTGGGTTACAAAGTGGGGTTTAAATAGATTTAAATGTATTTTTTTGTTATTGATCTACCAAAAATACTCCATAATGTCAAAGTGAAAAGAAATTCAACACATTTTTACAAATGAATAAAAATATTTTTTATGTGTTTAAAGTCGTTGAATAGGGGGTGAATTAGTTGTTAGTTCAGAAGTAAAATTTGGCTTAACAAATCACATAAGTTATATGGACTCACTCTGTTTGAAATAATAGGGGTTTGCATGATTTTTGAATGACAACCCCTTCCTCTGTCCCCCATACATACAACATCTGTAAGGTACCTCAGTCAAGTATTGAATTTCAAGCACAGAATCAACTACAAAGACCAGGGAGCTTTTCGAAAGCCTCATAAAGAACGTCAGTGATTGGTAGATGGGTAACAATACAAAATCTGACATTGAGTATATTTGTAAGCATTGTCAAGTTAATAATTATGCTGTGGATGATGTACTAAACAACCCAGAAGCATTAAACGTGCAGTCGTCCTTCTCAACTGAGCTGCAGGACAGGAAGGAAACTGCTTAGGGATGTCACCAAGGGCGCAAAACAGCTACAGAGTTCAATGGCTGTGATGGGAGAAAACTGAGGATGGATCAACAACGTTGTAGCGACTCTACAATAATGATCTAAATGACAGAGTGAAAAGAAGAATAAAAATACACAGAATAATGATTTTCCAAAACATGCAACAGGGCACTAAACTAATACTGCAAAAAATTAAGAAACTTTTTGGCCTAAATGCAAAGCCTTATATTTGGGGAAAATCCAACACAACACATCACTGAGTAACTGCCTCCTTATTTTCAAGCGTGGTGGTGGCTGCATCATGGTATGGGTATGCTTGACATCGGCAAAGACTAGGGAGTTTTTCAGGATGAAAAGAAACGGGATTGAGCTAAGCACAGGTAGAATCCTAGATGAAAACCTGCTTCAGTCTGCTTTACACCAGACACTGGGAGAGGAATTCACCTTTCAGCAAGACAATAACCTACAACACAAAGCCAAATCTACACAGGAGTTGATTACCAAGAAGACAGTGAATGTTATTGAGTGGCCAAGTTACAGTTTTGACTTGAATCTGCTTGGAAATCTATAGCAAGACCAGAAAATTAAAATGTGAAGAAATCCAAGTGGTGTGTAGACAATAGGCACTGTACAATAACCAAAATAAAAGACAATCAGGCCACATTGATTTTGTTATAATGTTTGAGCATAAGAACACAGCATTAGTCAGGTCTAGAATTGTAGGAAACTAGTTTTAAAATGGCAATATTTTCTCTCAGCTCCATGGCTAAATGTATAGAATTGCAGGATATTGGCTTTAAAGGTCCCACACAGTCAAAACCATGTTTTTAATCAAATTTTATGATATTTGGATGAAACCAGATCAAAATAGGATGACCAAAGTGTGAAAAATTACTGTTGCTGGTACATTGATAAAGTTTTATCATAAAGTTACTGGCCCCCTCCCCTGTGTCAAAAAACTTGAATTCAAGAGGCGGGATAGATGTCAGTTAGACATCATTGATAGTCATGATTTATGAAAATGGTCTGGCAGTCAATATATACAGTACCTTCGGAAAGTATTCAGACCCCTTGACCTTTTCCACATTTTGTTACGTTACAGCCTTCTCAAAAATTGATTAAATTGTTTTGTTTTTCTCATTAATTTACACAAAATTCCACATAATGATGAAGCAAAAACTGGTTTTTAGAGATTTCTGCTCATTTATAAAAAAACAAAAACGGAAATATTACATTTACATAAGTATTCAGACCTTTTACTCAGAGATGTTAGATCGGGTTCAAGTCCAGGCTCTGGCTGTGCCACTCAAGGACATTCAGAGACTTGTCCCGAAGCCACTCCTGCATTGTCTTGGCTGTGTGCTTAGGGTTGTTGTCCTGTTGGAAGGTGAACCTTCGCCCCAGTCTGAGATCCTGAGCGCTCTGGAGCAGGTTTTCATTAAGAATCTCTCCAGTGGTGGTTATTTAGTCTTCTATTTGGCTGAAACTTTCATAAAACACTTCTGTGCGATGTAGCCTTCCTGTAATACTTTAGAGTGCTAGTGATCGTGCTTGGCGCAAGAGTTGGCGCCTGGCTCAGTGTGGTATGGAGGATGCTGGCAGATGGTGCTGGGTTTGGTCATGAATGGGACGTCTGATAGAGATGATATGGGCCTTTTCTACTCAACCCTGTTTGAGTCAGTAACTAGAACCAAATTAGTGAGAGTGAGAGAGCAGGCAGAGAGAAATAGAGAGCATGCGCAGAGAGGCTGGCCCTGTGGTGACTATGGAGGGAGTAAGAGTGTGAAGGGGTTGAGGGTGAAGCAATAAGCAGAGAGAGAGAAACTGGCAGACACAGTGTAGGGTGTGAGAGACAGATACAGTTGAAGTCGGAAGTTTACATACACTTAGGTTGGAGTCATTAAAACTTGTTTTTCAACCACTCCACAAATGTCGTGTTAACAAACTATAGTTTTGGCAAGTCGGTTAGGACATCTACTTTGTGCATGACACAAGTAATTTGTCCAACAATTGTTTACAGACAGATTATTTCACTTATAATTCACTGTATCACAATTCCAGTGGGTCAGAAGTTTACATACACTAAGTTGACTGTGCCTTTAAACAGCTTGGACAATTCCAGAAAATGATGTCATGCTTTAGAAGCTTCTGATAGGCTAATTCCATTTACATTTTAGTCATTTAGCAGACGCTATCCAGAGCGAATTACAGCATACATTTTTCATACTGGCCCCCTGTGGGAATTGAACCCACAACCCTGGCGTTGCAAGCGCCATGCTCTACCAATTGAGCTACAGGAGACATCATTCGAGTCAATTGGAGGTGTACCTGTGGATGTATTTCAAGGCCTACCTTCAAACTCAGTGCCTCTTTGCTTGACATCATGGGAAAATCAAAAGAAATCAGCCAAGACCTCAGACATTTTTTTATAGACCTCCACAAGTCTGGTTCATCATTGGGAGCAATTTCCAAACGCCTGAAGGTACCACGTTCATCTGTACAAACAATAGTACGCAAGTATAAACACCATGGGACCACGCAGACGTCATACCGCTCAGGAAGGAGATGTCTCCTAGAGATGAACGTACTTTGGTGCGAAAAGTGCAAATCAATCCCAGAACAACAGCAAAGGACCTTGTGAAGATGCTGGAGGAAACACGTACAAAAGTATCTACATCCACAGTAAAACGAGTCCTATATCAACATAACCTGAAAGGCCGCTCAGCAAGGAAGAAGCCACTGTTTGGCCATAATGACCATCGTTATGTTTGGAGGATAAAGGGGGATGCTTGCAAGCCGAAGAACACCATCCCAACCGTGAAGCACGGGGGTGGCAGCATCATGCTTTGCTGCAGGAGGGACTGATGCACTTCACAAAATAGATGGCATCATGAGGAAGGGAAATTATGTGGATATATTAAAGCAACATCTCAAGACATCAGTCAGGAAGTTAAAGCTTGGTCGCAAATGGGTCTTCCAAATGGACAGTGACCCCAAGCATACTTCCAAAGTTGTGGCAAAATGGCTTAAGGACAACAAAGTCATAGTCCCATGTAGCTCAGTTGGTAGCCAGGGTTGTGGGTTCGTTTCCCACAGGGGACCAGTATGAAGAAAATAAAATGTATGCACTCACTAACTGTAAGTCGCTCTGGATAAGAGCGTATGCTAAATTACTAAAAATATTTAAAAAACTAGTGGCCATTACGAAGCCCTGACCTCAATCCTATAGAAAATTTGTGGGCAGAACTTAAAAAGCATGTGCGAGCAAGGAGGCCTACAAACCTGACTCAGTTACACCAGCAATGTCTGGAGGAATGGGCCAAAATTCTCCCAACTAATTTTTTTATTTAACCAGGTAAGCCAGTTGAGAACAAGTTCTCATTTACAACTGCGACCTGGCCAAGATAAAGCAAAGCAGTGCGATAAAAACAACAACACAGAGTTACATATGGGGTAAAACAAAACAAAGTCAAAAATACAACATAAAAATATATACAGTGTGTGTAAATGTAGCAAGTTATGGAGGTAAGGCAATAAATAGGCTATAGTGCAAAATAATTACAATTAGTATTAACACTGGAATGATAGATGTGCAAGAGATGATGTGCAAATAGAGATACTGGGGTACAAATGAGCAAAATAAATAACAATATAGGGATGAGGTAGTTGGGCGGGCTAATTTCAGATGGGCTGTGTACAGGTGCAGTGAACGGTAAGGTGCTCTGACAACTGATGCTTAAAGTTAGTGAGGGAGATAAGTGTCTCCAGCTTCAGAGATTTTTGCAATTTGTTCCAGTCATTGGCAGCAGAGAACTGGAAGGAATGGCGGCCAAAGGAGGTGTTGGCTTTGGGGATGACCAGTGAGATATACCTGCTGGAGCGCATACTACGGGTGGGTGTTGCTATGGTGACCAATGAGCTAAAATAAGGCGGGGATTTGCCTAGCAGTGATTTATAGATGGCCTGGAGCCAGTGGGTTTGGCGACGAATATGTAGTGAGGACCAGCCAACAAGAGCGTACAGGTCACAGTGGTGGGTAGTATATGGGGCTTTGGTGACAAAACGGATGGCACTGTGATAGACTACATCCAATTTGCTGAGTAGAGTGTTGGAGGCTATTTTGTAAATGACATCGCCGAAGTCAAGGATCGGTAGGATAGTCAGTTTTACGAGGGCATGTTTGGCAGCATGAGTGAAGGAGGCTTTGTTGCGAAATAGGAAACCGATTCTAGATTTAACTTTGGATTGGAGATTTTTTATGTGAGTCTGGAAGGAGAGTTTACAGTCTAACCAGACACCTAGGTATTTGTAGTTGTCCACATACTCTAGGTCAGACCCGTCGAGAGTAGTGATTCTAGTCGGGTGGGCGGGTGCAAGCAGCGTTCGGTTGAAGAGCATGCATTTAGTTTTACTAGTGTTTAAGAGCAGTTGGAGGCTACTGAAGGAGTGTTGTATGGCATTGAAGCTCGTTTGGAGGTTTGTTAACACAGTGTCCAATGAAGGGCCAGATGTATACAAAATGGTGTCGTCTGCGTAGAGGTGGATCTGAGAGTCACCAGCAGCAAGAGCGACATCATTGATATACACAGAGAAAAGAGTCGGCCCAAGAATTGAACCCTGTGGCACCCCCATAGAGACTGCCATAGGTCCAGACAACAGGCCCTCCGATTTGACACATTGAACTCTATCTGAGAAGTAGTTGGTGAACCAGGCGAGGCAGTCATTTGAGAAACCAAGGCTATTTAGTCTGCCAATAAGAATGCGGTGGTTGACAGAGTCGAAAGCCTTGGCCAGGTCAATGAAAACGGCTGCACAGTACTGTCTATTATCGATCGCGGTTATAATATCGTTTAGGACCTTGAGCGTGGCTGAAGTGCACCCATGACCAGCTCGGAAACCGGATTGCATAGCGGAGAAGGTACGGTGGGATTCGAAAAGGTTGGTGACTTTGAAAGGTTGGAGGTTTTAAAATGCCTTTTTAAGGGAAAGTTTACAAAAGGTTGTTGCGAAAAGGGTTTCTAATTTTTAACCGGAGGAAAGGAGCGGAAATTTTTGTTTTTACCACAAAGAAAAGGTACCCAAGTTGAACCCTTGGAAACCCCCAAGAGATGACCTTTTGGGGTGGGGGGGGAAAACAGGTTGGGTTTAAAATTTTAAATTATTAAAATTTTTTTTTTTTTTTAAAACAAGGCAGGAAATTTTTTCATTTGAGAAAAAAGGTTTTTTGGGAAATAAAAATTCGGGGGTTTTGCCCAAGGCCAAAAGGGCCAGGGTATAAAAAGGTTTGTGCCTTTATGAAGGGGGGTCGGGTTTAAAGACGAGGAAAAATTTGAATCAAAAAAGGAAAAAAAAAGGCCGGAAAGGAATTGCATGGGGAAAAGGACGGGGGTTTCCCGAAAAGGTTGGGATTTGTTTGAATTTCCTTCAAAAAAATTTTGGGGAAAGGCAGGGCAGGATGGATATGGGTCTGTAACAGTTTGGATCTAAAGTGTCACCCCCTTTGAAGAGGGGGATGACCGCGGCAGCTTTCCAATCTCTGGGGATCTCAGACGTTACGAAAGAGAGGTTGAACAGGCTAGTAATAGGGGATGCGACAATTTCGGCGGCTAGTTTTAGAAAGAAAGGGTCCAGATTGTCTAGCCCAGATGATTTGTAGGGGTCCAGATTTTGCAGCTCTTTCAGAACATCAGCTGTCTGGATTTGTGTGAAGGAGAAGCGGGGGGGGCATGGGCAAGTTGCAGCGGAGGGTGCAGAGCCGGTGGCCGGGGTAATGGTAGCCAGGTGGAAAGCATGGCCAGCCGTAGCAAAATGCTTGTTGAAATTCTCCATTATTGTAGATTTATCGGTGGTGATAGTGTTTCCTAGCCTCAGTGCAGTGGGCAGCTGGGAGGAAGTGCTCTTATTCTCCATGGACTTTACAGTGTCCCAAAACTTTTTGGAGTTTGTGCTACAGGATGCAAATTTCTGTTTGAAAAAGTTAGCCTTTGCTTTCCTAATTGGTTCCTAACTTCCCTGAAAAGTTGCATATCGCGGGGGCTATTTGATGCTAATGCAGTACGCCACAGGATGTTTTTGTGCTGGTCAAGGGCAGTCAAGTCTGAGGAGAACCAGGGGCTATATCTGTTCTTAGTTCTGTATTTTTTGAATGGGGCATGTTTATTTAAGATTGAGAGGAAATTACTTTTAAAGAACAACCAGGCATCCTCTACTGACGGAATGAGATATATATCCATCCAGGATACCTGGGCCAGGTCAATTAGGAAAGCCTGCTCGCTGAAGTGTTTTTGGGAGCGTTTGACAGTGATGAGGGGTGGTCGTTTGACCGCGGACCCGTTACGGACGCAGGCAATAAGGCAGTGATCGCTGAGATCCTGGTTGAAGACAGCGGAGGTGTATTTAGAGGGTAAGTTAGTCAGGATGACATCTATGAGGGTACCCATGTTTACGGATTTAGGGTTGTACCTGGTAGGTTCGTTGATAATTTGTGTGAGATTGAGGGCATCTAGTTTAGATTGTAGGATGGCCGGGGTGTTAAGCATATCCCAATTTAGGTCACCAAGCAGTACGAACTCTGAGGATAGATGGGGGGCAATCAATTCACATATGGTGTCCAGGGCACAGCTGGGGGCTGAGGGGGGTCTGTAGCAAGCGGCAACAGTGAGAGATTTATTTCTGGAAAGGTGGATTTTTAGAAGTAGAAGCTCAAACTGTTTGGGCACAGACCTGGATAGTATGATAGAGCTCTGTAGGCTATCTCTACAGTAGATTGCAACTCCACCCCCTTTGGCAGTTCTATCTAGACGGAAAATGTTATAGTTGGGGATGGAAATTTCAGAATTTTTGGTGGCCTTCCTAAGCCAGGATTCAGACACTGCTAGAACATCAGGGTTGGCGGAGTGTGCTAACGCAGTGAATAACTCAAACTTAGGAAGGAGGCTTCTGATATTTACGTGCAGAAACCAAGGCTTTTACGGTTACAGAAATCAACAAATGATAGCTCCTGGGGAGTAGGAGTGATACTGGGGGCTGGAACAGAGGAGGACTAGAATAAGGATACGACTAAAGGCTTTAAGAACTGGTCTTCTAGTGCGTTGGGTACATAGAATAAAGGGGGCAGTTCTCCGGGCGTTGTAGAAAAGATTCAGGGCATTATGTACAGAAAAGGATATGGAAGGATATGAGTACAGTTGAGGTAAACCTAAGCGTTGGGTAACAATGAAAGAGATAGCATCACTGGAGGCACCGATTGAGCCGGTCTCGGCGTGTATGGGGGGTGGAACAAAGGAACTATTTGAGGCAGTTTGAGAGGGACTAGGGGTTCTACAGTGAAATTGTATAATAATAACTAACCCAAACAGCAATAGGCAAGGCATATTGAGAAGGGAGAGAGGAATAAAGCAATCACAGGTGTTATTAGAGAGAGCTAAGACAACAACTGGTAATAGCGATAAAGTTTGGGCTGAGGCTAAACAGAATAAACAGGACAGGGTACCGTGTAAAGGAACAGTCCAGCAGGCATCAGCTGTGCAGCTGAGTGATCATAAGGTCCAGTGAACAGCAATATGTGAGTCCGAGAGCAGTTCGAATTGGTGCTTCAGCACAGCTAGCAGGGAGCACAGTTGTAGTTTGCGTGTGCTAGCGGGCCGGGGCTAGCAGATGGATCTTCGTGGTCGTCGCAACGGGAAGCCTGTTGAAACCACATCAGACGATTTCGTCGGCAAACCAGTCGTGTTGGATCGGCGGGGCTCAGTGTCAACACTAGGAGGTCCCGTCCGGTTGACAGAGAGGTAGATAGCCGGGAGATGGGCCTGAGGCTAGCTCAAGGCTAACTGGTGCTTGCTATGGGGCAATGGTAATTAGCCAACAACAGGTTGCAGCTAGCTAGCTGGTTGCGATGATCCGGCGCTAGGGTCCAGTGATTCCGGCAGAAAGTCCGATAAGCTCTGGGTCGATAGCACGCTGTGCAGACTGGCCGACGAATTGTCCAGGCTAGAGCTAGAGCTGGCTGGTGGATAGTGTAGGCCACGGACAATGGTGAAGACGCTAACAGTGACTAATAGCAAGTAGCCATTCAGTTGCAGCTACACTAGTTTCAGCTTAAGGCTCTTGATGAAAGTTATGAAGAAATAATAGAATCCTTTCCACGTTGGGTGAGGCGGGTTGCAGGAAAGTATATTTAGTTAAAGAATGAAAAGTAAAATTGAGAAATATATACAAAATAGACAACAAAAAAAAAAGAAACGGGATATTTACACTAGGACAATGAATAAAACCACGACCGCACTGCTACGCCATCTTTTTATTTTATTTTTTTCATATTGTGGGAAGCTTGTGGAACGCTACCTGAAACGTTTGACCCAAGATAAACAATTTAAAGGCAATGCTACCAAATACTAATTGAGTGTACATGTATGTACACTTCTGACCCACTGGGAATGTATGAAAGAAATAAAAGCTGAAATAAATCATTCTCTCTACAATTATTCTGACATTTCACATTCTTAAAATAAAGTGGTGATCCTAACTGACCTAAGACAGGGAATTTTACTAGGATAAAATGTCAGGAATTGTGAAAAACTGAGTTTAAATGTATTTGGCTATGGTGTATGTTAACTTCCGACTTCAACTGTATAAATGGAGTATGTGATGGAGTCACAGGGGGACTGTGAAGAAGAGAAAGGTGGGTGAAAATTATAGAAGAAGACAGCTTTCTTGAGGATTGTTTATCTTCTCTCACAGCAATATTCTGTTGACAGACAGACATGGGAAAGCAGATTGAAATAAATAACTGACAGTTTTACTTTTTTCGCCAGGCTGACCACGGTATAGAAATAACTAAAGGCCTTTACATTTACATTTTAGTCATTTAGCAGACGCTCTTATCCAGAGCGACTTACAGGAGCAATTAGGGTTAAGTGCCTTGCTTAAGGGCACATCGACAGATTTTTCACCTAGTCGGCTCGGGGATTAGAACCAGCGACCTTTCGGTTACTGGCACAACGCTCTTACCCACTAAGCTACCTGCCGACCCCTTTACACAGCAGAAATCCTACATGATTTCCTGCAGATTAAGGCCAGCCATATGAAGCTTGGAAGATGATCACAGGGTTGATGCTGACTGAGTTCGTCGAACGTATCTGTTCTTCACACAAAGATGTACGCATTGGGTAAGGGGTAAGGTAGTGAACAGTAGCTGAAAATAATTTCACAGAACACTCATTCAACTGATTTATCTACAGGTATATTCCAGAGATGGTTAGTTTGTTTCTATTTCATAGGCGGTTGTGTGCAAAAGTTTCAGTTAGGCATGCAAGTGGCGCAGTGGTCTAAGGCACTGCATCGCAGTGCTAGCTGTGCCACTAGAGATCCTGGTTCATATCCAGGCTCTGCTGTAGCCGGCCGCAACCGGGAGAACAATGGGGCGGCGCACAATTGGCCCAGCGTCGTCCAGGGTAGGGGAGGGAATGGCCGGCAGGGAGGTAGCTCAGTTGGTAGAGCATGGCGTTTGCAACGCCAGGGTTGTGGGTTCGATTCCCACGGGGGGCCAGTATGAAAATAAAAAAGAATAATGTATGCACTAACTGTAAGTCGCTCTGGATAAGAGCGTCTGCTAAATAATGTAAATGTAATGTGTCATGCAAGTTCATTGGCCCTTCACAATCAGAAGTACTGCAGGAGAATATGAATATGTCATGTTTATTATATCCTGTACCTTTGAGATGAGCTTTGTTACCGTACTTCAACATAGGTCAGAACAGTGTGAAAAGCAGGTATACGTACATGGTCTCACTGTGCACAATTCCTGTGCATAACTCAACACCTCAGATTAAACAAGGTAGACTCACAGGGTCTGTTCGTCTTTAAAAGTGTATTTTCAAAGTATTACACTTACGGGCACCATGTCCTTGCGTCGACAAAAAGATGACATCAGGAATTCAAACACTGAAATTCAAACACAGCGCTTTGTACCTTGACAGAACCCATATTTATGTTTTAGTTTATGACTTCCAGTGTTAAAGGGGAGTGCTGAAAACTTGGAGACTCAAAGCCAATAGTACCTGTGGTGTGAGAAAGTTGTCTGTATTGCAGTGTGTGAGACAGTGACGTGCGGTAGGCACTGGCTATTATCAAAGCCAGATTTACTCACAAGTAAACCTTGATGAAGCCAAAGTGCACCATACAACGGATAGCTCCAAAACCAGAGTGACATAGGCTATTAACCGATATGACAAACAATTTTGACCTAAACAACAATGTAGCCAAGATACACAAACGATAGCCTCCGATGGCCACACATTCATATCATCCGACAAAATTATGTAGCATCCACAGTTACAACCAATAGGTGGCAATAGAAGACCAATATATGTACACATTTCATCCGAATAGTTTGCAATGCAAACTCCATAGCCTTTCACAATGGATTTACAATTCTTCCAATTCACCGCACAAACAGATACATACACACAAACACGCACACAATAATATTATTATGTGAAATATTATTACACATACATACAGTGGGGAAAAAAAGTATTTAGTCAGCCACCAATTGTGCAAGTTCTCCCACTTAAAAAGATGAGAGAGGCCTGTAATTTTCATCATAGGTACACGTCAACTATGACAGACAAAATGAGATTTTTTTTCTCCAGAAAATCACATTGTAGGATTTTTTATGAATTTATTTGCAAATTATGGTGGAAAATAAGTATTTGGTCAATAACAAAAGTTTCTCAATACTTTGTTATATACCCTTTGTTGGCAATGACACAGGTCAAACGTTTTCTGTAAGTCTTCACAAGGTTTTCACACACTGTTGCTGGTATTTTGGCCCATTCCTCCATGCAGATCTCCTCTAGAGCAGTGATGTTTTGGGGCTGTCGCTGGGCAACACAGACTTTCAACTCCCTCCAAATATTTTCTATGGGGTTGAGATCTGGAGACTGGCTAGGCCACTCCAGGACCTTGAAATGCTTCTTACGAAGCCACTCCTTCGTTGCCCGGGCGGTGTGTTTGGGATCATTGTCATGCTGAAAGACCCAGCCACGTTTCATCTTCAATGCCCTGGCTGATTGAAGGAGGTTTTCACTCAAAATCTCACGATACATGGCCCCATTCATTCTTTCCTTTACACGGATCAGTCGTCCTGGTCCCTTTGCAGAAAAATAGCCCCAAAGCATGATGTTTCCACCCCCATGCTTCACAGTAGGTATGGTGTTCTTTGGATGCAACTCAGCATTCTTTGTCCTCCAAACACGACGAGTTGAGTTTTTACCAAAAAGTTATATTTTGGTTTCATCTGACCATATGACATTCTCCCAATCCTCTTCTGGATCATCCAAATGCACTCTAGCAAACTTCAAACGGGCCTGGACATGTACTGGCTTAAGCAGGGGGACACATCTGGCACTGCAGGATTTGAGTCCCTGGCGGCGTAGTGTGTTACTGATGGTAGGCTTTGTTACTTTGGTCCCAGCTCTCTGCAGGTCATTCACTAGATTCCCCCGTGTGGTTCTGGGATTTTTGCTCACCGTTCTTGTGATCATTTTGACCCCACGGGGTGAGATCTTGCGTGGAGCCCCAGATCGAGGGAGATTATCAGTGGTCTTGTATGTCTTCCATTTCCTAATAATTGCTCCCACAGTTGATTTATTCAAACCAAGCTGCTTACCTATTGCAGATTCAGTCTTCCCAGCCTCGTGCAGGTCTACAATTTTGTTTCTGGTGTCCTTTGACAGCTCTTTGGTCTTGGCCATAGTGGAGTTTGGAGTGTGACTGTTTGAGGTTGTGGACAGGTGTCTTTTATACTGATAACAAGTTCAAACAGGTGCCATTAATACAGGTAACGAGTGGAGGACTGTACAGGTCTGTGAGAGCCAAAAATCTTGCTTGTTTGTAGGTGACCAAATACTTATTTTCCACCATAATTTGCAAATAAATTCATTAAAAATCCTACAATGTGATTTTCAGGATTTATTTTCTCTCAATTTGTCTGTCATAGTTGACGTGTACCTATGATGAAAATTACAGGCCTCTCTCATCTTTTTAAGTGGGAGAACTTGCACAATTGGTGACTGACTAAATACTTTTTTTCCCCACTGTATATAATAAATAAGGTTCTAACGAAATGTCCATATCAACAATCAAAATGACTGAAAATGCAGTTCAAAACGTCAAAAAAGTATCTCATCAAAACTAAATTCTAGCTTGATAAATCAAACGCATCAAAGGGATGTTGTCTATTCTCATGTTCATTGAATAGTAGCCTTACCTGCAAATTGCAAAGTAAAATGCATTTAGGCCTACCTATGTCATCCACAACTTTCATTGGGTCACTGATACTGTATGTGCACAGCAGAACCCCATGTCCATTATTTTTATTCTGCATAACACGAAAGTGCAAATGTGCAGAGCTTACCCCAGGCTTACCCACACAACATGTTTAGGCAATATGCATGCGCAAAATATGAAATTGGCTCAACGCAACGAATGAAGCTAGGCAAAGCAGTGAGGCCTGTGCTGACCCTGTCCATCAACAGTGACTGGAGTCAGTAACACACGTGTCAATGATTTTAATGGATGGGAAGGAAGGTGCCTGTCCTGAGGTTTTGAATGCAGTTTTAGTAAATAGATTTGGAGAATAAAAACCACCAGAATCATTGAGAAAAAACATTAGATAACAAAAAAGAATGACCATTCTACTGTACTGTAGATATGAGTATTTGTTTTTGTACTGTAGATTATTAATGTGTTGAAGTCACTGTCTTACCAGCAACAGGCCAGAATCTGTTTCTTATATTTGGAATGGAGAAAATCCAGGATCAATTTCTCCACTTATTTTAATATCAGTATTTAGTAGGGAAATGGGACTGTAATCAGTCCAGATATCTTGGCATGAGTTATCTTTCAGTCCAGCATGAATGATAACTCAGGGGGCTAAAGGTATGAGTGTATGGCAGATCTGCCAAGGTTGAAATACATTTAGTTGTTTTACTTGTCATGTCTGGTTAAGAGTTTTTCGTGAGATGGGACCAAAATAATTCATCCAATAGGAACTTGGTATAGATTATCATTAAACACTATATATTCTTTCCCTTCCTTTACAGCCATTCTGAACATGGACAACACTGTGGTGGACCTTGAGACCTTGCAATCCCTGTATGACAATGTAAGTTGTTTGGAATGTATTCATGATTATATACTATGCTTTTTTGTTGTAAATGTTTAATGACAAGAACTTTCACTGAGTGAAAATAGTTTTGGGCAGTGTTTAGGGCATGTGGAATATTACCACAAGTCTGGTAAGATACACCAATTCCATGTATGCACAACAATATCAACTTGATCAAACAATCATTGTTTAAATGTTTGCTCATGATTCATGATTTTAAGTTTCATACCATATACAGTGGGGTCTGAAATTATTTTTTGTAAATAAGAATATAATATGTTTCTAAACACTTTTACATTAATGTGGATGCTACCATGATTACAGGTAGTACTGAATGAATAGTGAATAATGATGAGTGAGAAGATTACAGACACACAAATACCCCCCCCCCCCCCCCCCCCAAACAAATGCTAACCTCCCCTGTTATTGTAATGGTGAGAGGTTAGCATGTCTTGGGGGTTTGATATGTGTGCGTCTGTAATTATGTCACTCATCATTATTCACGATTCATTCAGGACTATTACTGAGTACCACTCTCCATATTTTCAAGCAAAGTGGTGGCTGCATCATGTTATGGGTATACTTGTAATCATTAAAGAATGGGGAGTTTTTCAAGATAAAATATAAACCTAATGGAGCTAAGCACAGGCAAAATCCTAGAGGAAAACCTGGTTCAGTCTGCTTTCCACCAGACATTGGGAAATGAATTCACCTTTCAGCAGGACAATAACCTAAAACACAAGGCTAAATCTACACTGGAGTTGCTTACCAAGAAGACATTGAATGTTCCTGAATGGCCGAGTTACAGTTTTGACTTAAATCTGCTTGAAATTCTATCGCAAGACCTGAAAATGATTGTTTAGCTCAACAACCAATTTGACAGAGCTTGAAGAATTTTGAAAATAATAATGGTCAAATGTTGCACAATCCAGGTGTGGAAAGCTCTTAGAGACTTACCAAGAAAGACTCACAACTGTAATCGCTGCCAAAGGTGATTCTAACATGTATTGATTCAGGGGGTTGAATACTTATCTAATTAAGATATATTAGTGTTTTATTTTTCATATATTTTTTTTAAATGTTAGAATTTTTCTTCCACTTTGACATTACAGAGTATTTTGTGTAGATCGTGTAGAAAGTCAAGGGGTATGAATACTTTCTGAAGGCACTGTACTGTATGTATCTGTCTTTCGACGCCATACTCACCACTGGTGTGTATGGCCAAAGAGCTATATGTTCATGTCATCTGGCCATAGCAGCGGTTCCAATCCAAGTGCCAATTAGCAAACTCCAGACGTTTACATTTGTTGGTTGCTCTCAATAAAGGCTTTTTTTCTGGCAACCCTTCCCGTAGAGCCTATTGGCATGGTGGTGGCGTCTAATTGTAGATTTGTAGATTTGGTGACCCGAAGATGCCACCAGGTTATGTAATTCTCCAACTTTGGCCCTTCTCCTCACTGTGTGTTGGGACAATATACGCATGTGACCAGTACCAGGCAAGTTTACCACTGTTCCAGTGGTTTTAATCTTCTTAGTTGTTGCCATAATATATTTCATTTCTTTGATTTTTTTTTCCCTCAATTTCCTGATTTATGAAGTTCAACAACCATTTGTCCCTTTTCGTTTGTGAGTGCTTTGCCTTTTCCCATGGTGATGGATGACATAGGTATTTGACATGCGTGTCACCTCATGAAACAGGAATCCATGGAAGGCCACAATGCAATTCCTTAAGATTGCCAACGTGAGTAAGACATTTAAGCGTGTTAACCCTCACAGGGCTGCCAGACCAGACGGCATCCCAAGCCGCATCCTCAGAGCATGTGCAGACCAGCTGGCTGGAGTGTTAATTGACATATTCAATCTCTCCCTATCCCAGTCTGTTGTCCCCACTTGCTTCAAGATGTCCACCATTGTTCCTGTACCCAAGAAAGCTAAGGTAACTGAACTAAATGACCATCACCCTGTAGCATTCACTTCTGTCATCATGAAGTGCTTTGAGAGGCTAGTTAAGGATCACATCACCTCCACCTTACCCAACACCCTAGACCCACTACAATTTGCATACTGCCCCAACAGATCCACGGATGACGCAATCGCAATTGCACTGCACACTGCCCTATCCCATCTGGACAAGAGGAATACCTATGTAAGAATGCTGTTCATCGACTACAGCTCAGCCTTCAACACCATAGTGCCCTCCAAGCTCATTACTAAGCTCTGGAGCCTGGGTCTGAACCCCGCCCTGTGCAACTGGGTCCTGGACTTCCTGAAGGGCCGACCCCAGGTGGTGAAGGTAGGCAACAACACCTCCGCTATGCTGATCCTCAACACGGGGGCCCCTCAAGGGTACATGCTCAGCCCCCTCCTGTACTCCCTGTTCACCCATGACTGTGTGGCCACGAACATCTCCAACTCAATCACCAAGTTTGCAGACGACACATCAGTGGTAGGCCAAGATAACCAACAACGACAATGTCTACAGGGAGGAGGGGAGGGCCCTGGCGGAGTGGTGCCAGGAAAATAACCTCTACCTCAACAAAAAAAGAAGGAGCTGATCGTGGACTTCAGGAGACAGCAGCGAGAGCAAGCCCCCATCACATCAACAGGGCATCAGTGAAGAGGGTGAGAAGCCTTGGCGTGCACATTTATTTACATTTATTTTCAGTCATTTAGCAGATGCTCTTATCCAGAGTGACTTACAGTTAGTGAGTGCATACATTTTCAAACTGGCCCCCCATGGGAAACGAACCCACAACGCTGGCGTTGCAAGCGCCATGCTCTACCAACTTAGCTACAGGGGACCACATCACTGACAACCTGAAATGGTCCATCCACACAAACAGTGAACAGTGTGGTAAAAAAAGGGGCTACAGTGCCTCTTCAACCTCAGGAGGCTGGCTGAAGAAATCACAGCCTGTTCACCCCGCTACCATCTAGAAGGCGGAGACAGTACAGGTGCATCAAAGCTGGGACTGAAAAACAGCCACCAGACTGTTAATTAGTCACCACTAGCCATCCTCTGCCCAGCACCCTGCCCTGAACTTAGTCACTGTTACTAGCCAGCTACCACCCAGCACTCTACCCTGCACCTTTGAGACTGCTGCCCTATGTACATAGTTCTTGAACACTGGTCACTTTAATAATGATTCCATACTGTTTTACCCACTTAATTTAAGTGATAATGCCCGAGAAGCCAGTGTTTGGAGGATACATTGGCAGGGGTGTTGTTAGGCCCGAGATGAAATTAGGCCTGAGATGGCTTCGAGGGCATTATCACTTTTATACAACGGGTTACCAACATATTCAAATAACGATTGACATATTTTCATTAAAAACATTATTTTAATGAATTTATTCATACTTTTTCATCCTTCCACAAGACATAGTCCCGACACAAATCTAGGGTTGCTACCCAAGCCGGCTGGTCGTTCGTTCTATCGGTTCGGTTGCCAGAGACGCGACTCAGTCGTTCAGTCTTTTTGTTCTGCATCTATGGACGCGACCCAGTTGTTCTAAATGTTCCATTCCCACACTGGCTGGCAATGTTCTTATCTCTTGCTTGCTAGCTAGCCAACTACGGCTAACTTACAGTCATGTCAAACAGTGCAGCCAGAATAACAACAAAGTAGCTGCATTTGCATTTGTTTAAGCTGTTTTCTAGTGACATTTATTTGAATACATCCATAACAATGAGCTAATGATGCACGATTTCACCAGGCATAGAAAATGTGCTCTCTTGTCAGGACACTGTTGTTCGAGAGCTAGCCAACAACACCGCTAACACAATCACTTTCAAACTGAAGCTGGAAAGACTGCACTCTAGCTGCACTTCATTTCATTTGACCTGTTTTCTATTGATAGTTCTTTGTATTTATCCATAGAAATGATGATGATTCATGATTTCGAATGGCTGAGAAAAGCTGCGTACCTGTCAGTCTCATCCTGACTCCCTACACGTTCATTACTATGGGACAGCTGGAGATCGAATTTGAATATTGAAACAATGTTGCAAATGTCGTAGAGACAGACAGCAAGGTTTATACAAATCTCCGCTGTTCAAAACGGAATGTTAGTCTAAAGGAAATGTGAGATAATGTCTAGATGCTTTTTATAGTGAAGATCAAGTTTATAAATTGCCTGGCTGGGCTGATGAGACAGCGGGTTGTGCAGTCAGATGGAACACACCTTTTCTATTCGTATTGTCTATACACTTGTCTATATACTGTCTATACACACCATTGTATACATATATATATTTTTTTATTATTTGTATTCTGGACACTGACATTGCTCGATCTGATATTTCTTCATTTCTTTCTTTGTATTTTTGGGAGTTGTGTGTATTGTTTTGTATTGTTCGGTATTACTGCACTGTTGGAGCTAGAAACTTAAGCATTTCACTGCACCTGCGATAACATCTGCAAAATATTTGTACAAGACCAGTCAAATTTTATTTAATGTAATTTGATTAATTAAAAAAAGTAGAATGCTAATGCGGATTTTATTTTGTTTGTTTTTATTTATAAGAATCTTTAAGGGTGCCAATCACTTTGACACATATCTTAAAAAATGTATATAAATTACTTATTATATCTCTTTCTCTGAGCAATTGAATTAGTATAATAGAATATAATTTTCAAAAAAAATTGGGAGCATACAATATAGCTCAGTATTTTTATTATTTATTTTATACAGTTTTTTTCTGCTCATCTTTATCAAGGGTGCCTGGACCTGACTGTAGTTACAGAAAGCTATTATTTGATTATATAATGAAATAATGAAATATATAATAGTCAAGCCACAGTATTAGCAACTAGTTAAAAATTAATTCATTTTCTTTTATTTGGACTACAAAAACAAAAGAAAAAATCCCATCAATTAAGTGCTCCTTCCTTGGAACATGTGGGAAGGTGGCCTTTTCATAAACAGTCTTTTAATATTTAGTTATTAACAGTTTCATGATTTTGTTGTGGATTTCAGTTCCACAGCGTCTGCTCTGAACATTACTCTGTATCTGGAGTTCATGTTCCATCTGGTCCACTTGAAAGGCAAACTAAAGGAAATGTGCATTAAATACCAAAACAAACATGGAAACCACAAGCCCTACTGGTATGCGTGGTGTTTGGCCACAGAGTCAGCCCCAGTGAACAGTATGTCTGCTGGAAGGGGATATACTTTTTCTCTAGTAAACATCTATTCTTGTTTAAAGACATGCATCATCATACAAGGTGAGTAGAGACATATCATCTATATCGGATTTTAATGTACCCCTCTCCACTGTATAATGGGCACTTTTATTAAAGTACAATGGGATGTCATAAAGTTTGTTATTATTTAATTGCTTTAGAATAAGACTCCCTAGTACACCCTGCTGGTTGTGAAGGTTCCAATAGTTACAGCCAAGCATTGTCATCATTAGCCCTGCATGACGTTAAACCTGTCTCTTTCAGCAGAACATTCAGAGCCCCATGCATTGTTATGTCAATAAAGAGAGGAGCATGAAAAGGGACATGTTTTTTCAATTTCAACCGTGATACAGTTTTAAGATGCTATGACATTCCTGAGAAGCTTTTGGCTGGACAACACAAGAGGCCCGTCCTTTGACTGCTAGAGCCACATTAATAATATTGATCATGTTAAAATGACTGTGACTTGAGACATGGTGTATTTCTTACGAAATGTGTCATAACGGAGGATCAAATGAGTATTTTTGCTGCTTAACCCACCCTCATCTCTCGCACCCCGCTCCCCACACCCTTCTCTCCCTTGCCTGAGGCTGTGTTATTGAGTTGTGTAGCCAAATTGTTTCTCTTTTGTATTGCGAGACTCCATCCTGTCTCCCGGTCTCTAACCCCTAACCACAGTTGGCAGTGTAGCCACCCTGACTTAGGAATGAAGGGTTCTAATGGTTACACCCTCACAGTTCTAGAACACACACACAAACACAGAGCCATTGAGAAGTTCACTCCTCACTTCACAGTAAGAAATGGAGTCACCCTGTCTGTGGGCTTTTAAAATAAAACCACTACTGCTCTCACAACACAAACCCACAGGCAGGACGGGATCACTGTGAGGTACCCCTCCCCGCAAATATCAGGAGTCGGAACCTCATGACACAACTCTTAGAAGTTCAGGGAACCCTTCCCAACACCACATTACTTTGCACATGATAAACAAACCACAACACTTACACTCATGAAATATACTCATAGGCTGTGACTGCAGAGGTTGAGGGACATTATAACAACACTGTCACTTTGTATGGATAAACACAGAATTGTGACAGTGACATAGGTCAGTGGTACAATAATAGCACCTCAGGCTGCGTTTTCATTAAACTCAGTCATCAGAAAACAACATTGACTTGAAGTTTAGTGCCATACATGGGAAGTTTCGTAAATACTGAGTTGACCAGAAATGTGGGGATTGCAGTGACATTTGGTCCAAGTCATTTTCCAAAAGTGCACCTTTCTCTGTATTCGAAATGCCACATACAACTTTCTTTCATACTGTCACAGCCAAAAAGAAAGGCACCAACTCATAGATCTCACCATCATATCTTCTTGTCCCCAAATTACTCCTCACGTTGGTATACCCACATGTTGAAAAAGGATATGTTTTGTGTTAAATGTATTGAAACATGTCGTAAACCAGAACCAGAGCTTGCCCTCGCGGACCCAAGGCTGAGTGTGTTGAATACTAATTTGCTGTGTTTGATGCCCATATTTGATGTGCTGCTGCTGAGTTATGCCTGGGCCAGGCCCCGGAGTCAACGTCGGCTCCCCTAGCCTGAGAGACATACAGAGTTTACATTTCTCTTTGTCGGACGCTTTATGGTTTTGCCAGCCTGAGTCAGGCCTGTCAACCTCTATTGTCTTTGTCTTTGTGAAATGAGAGGGCATCTCTGGCCTGGTTACATTTTTTCGACCCACTTGTATAAAACTGTGGTTTTGTGTCTGGGAAAGTGGAAAATATGTTGGAAATCGAAACAATACTATAGTGTTTCACCTTATAGTGTTTATAAAGTATCTACAATGGCTGTATTTGCCAACATTCAGTTCCCCTGAAAGTGAAAGAACAGGGTTTGTGTGCATGTACGGTATATCTCAAGTACAAGGTATATTTTGTGTGCCACTTACTGTTTACCCAATATCACACTCCTTACTTATTTCAGGGAGCCCAGCAAGATGAGATGGAGAAGATTGAGAAGCACATCAAGTCATCCAAAGGCAAGGATGACGCAAAGCCATTGGACAAGCCTGAACAGTAAGAGCAAATGTATCCTCTGTGCCAAGTCTGTCCTGTTTCTGTTTCTCTCTCAATTGTTGGTGATAGGAAAGGTCAGGAAAATGGCAATTTCAAAATAGGCCCTGTTTAAGTATTTTAACACTTTCGTTTTGTTCTTGTTCTTTCCTAAGGTTTCTCTTCCAGTTGTCCCAAATCCCCAATTTCTCAGGAAGGGTGTTTTGCATCCTCTTTCAATCAACCTTTGTTGAATGTATCTCCTCCATCCTCCGGAAAGTAGAAATCCTTCAGAGAATGTGTACGGTAAGTCTCCTCTCATCTTTCTGAGAACAGCACGTAGTGGACAATGTAATGTACAGCCATGCATCCAGAGTGTTGAGTACATAAGGAATGAGAGCCATTATCTCTGCACAGGGCAAATATACAGTATGCCTCATTTATACCAGAGGCACTGAACTGAACTCTCTCTCTCTTCTTCTTCTGTTTGTCTGTTTACCCCTCTGTCTCTTTCCTCTTTCCTCTTTTATTCTCTTTGCTCCCTCTTCTCTATCCCTCTCTTACCGTATATATTCTGTCCCTCATTTATCTGTATCTTTCTCCTTTCCTTTCTTCTTCTCTTCCCTCTCTCCCTCCACTTCTTTCCCCATGCTGTGTATCAGACTCTGCAGAGTGGTCAGTTTGTGATGCAAACCTACGTCTTAGCTTTTGGGAACTTCATGAACGGAGGGAACCGATCGCGTGGGCAGGCTGACAGCTTCACTCTGGACATCCTGCCCAAACTCAAGGACGTCAAGAGCAGTGTGAGTGTGTGTTGAGCTCTGACCATAACTGCCCTATTATGGTGCTTAAGCAATTATTTGTCCCCAAATGAGTGACTGACTGATTGTTTGTTAGATTTTTGTGTACCACCTGTGCTGTCATGTAAGAACATAGTGCAGTGTTTTCAATATTGGAATCCTAGAGAGGTGTCCATAAAGAATATAAGACAAGTTACTAGCTCTAAGTAATGACAGTCTCCCCAGCAGAGATTTCACTTGTGTTTGATCCATTGCTTTGAGGTGCTGAACTTCTAAATCCTCTTTAGATGTGTTCTCCATACCAATCGAAACATTCTGCTCTAAAATGATTAGATTAATGACAAAAATGATGTATTTATTTTTATCTTTTTCCCCCTCTCTCTTTCAGGATAACTCTCAGAGTCTTTTGTCATACATCGTTGCTTACTATCTAAAGAACTTTGATAAGGTATGTTTTGGTTCCTGTTTATTTGAATCCCTTTCTGATTTACTTAGATATCTATCCAGCCACCTTTTCATCTTCTCTCTCGCCCGAGGATAGCATGGCTTTTCTTATCAAATTATTTATTTTCCTTTCCCTCATTTACAAAAGAAGCTAATGTCTCCCTCTCAGTTCGCCTGGATCTGTACAACGTTAGCTTCCACAGGATCCAAAGGAAGCCTATTGTAAATAATTAGGTTAGCCAGATGAGATGAATTCAGCCAAATGTATGTTGCCAAAATCAACATACACAACATGGTTCTGGGCTCCTAATGGCTCCCTAGTAATACTGATGGACATGACGAACGTATACTTTGATTACAATGGCTCCACTCTAGCTGATGGCCATTACCACCATGCAACCTTATCTTATTGGGAATGTTTGGACTACTGATAAGAATGGCAGAGACATCCATCCCAATCTTACCTGAGATGTATGCTGGAGAGGGCTGCTCTGGTCTTTGATGATGATTGCCTTTGACTGTGTGTGTGTGTGTGTGTGTGTGTGTGTGTGTGTGTGTGTGTGTGTGTGTGTGTGTGTGTGTGTGTGTGTGTGTGTGTGTGTGTGTGTGTGTGTGTGTGCTCAGGACGCCGGTAGAGAGACCTGTGTCTACCCTCTCCCTGAACCCCAGGACCTCTTCCAGGCCTCTCAGATTAAGTTTGAGGACTTTCAGAGAGACCTACGCAAGCTAAGAAAAGACCTTAACGGTGAGACTGGCTCCCACAAATGTATTTTGGTCCATTTGTAGCTCCATTTATAAACCTTGGACTATATATTTTTCACACTAGGTAGTAAACCTGAATCAACGTTGATTATGACAGGTGTTACATAATGTTTGTGATACCATTGTGTAGGATTTATGAGTGTCATGTGAAATGGATTCCTGTATCTTTATAATAGAAAATTCTTCAAAGTTTGCCCACGAAACAGGGTCAATAGATAGCATCTGATTGTCGTACAAAGCCCCAAACTAGAACCAGATGGAGAGTCAGGAGCAGACTCCTCTAGAATCCGCTAGGCACCCTTTTACTGTCCTCACAACACAGAGCTCCAAAAAAATCCAGGTTCAGGGGGCTTTTCCTACCTGTGCTCCAGCTCATGTCCCTCAGAGTGAGTCAAAGGCCTGGAGAGGCCGCCTTATTTATGCAGCACCCGCACATTACAAACCATAAGATCTGAAGATCCCATATTAAAAACCATCAGTGTACTGTATGGGTAGCAATAATGTTTGACTGCCATCTAGTTGAACAAGAACAGAATATTGCAAACCAAATACTAGGTCACGAGTCCAGGTAGCACTTATAAACATGTTAGAGGTTTACAGGGAATTACCTCGATCAGACTAGGGTTAAGCTGAAAGTCTTACGTTTTTTCCCAGGTTAACATGAGTCAAATAGTAGGAATTAGGGAACAACAAAAATCCCTGATGAAGTGTGGAAATCAGATTAAACATTTAAAGCCAAGCTCATGGTTAAACAAAATCCCTGTGCAACCGATTGAAAGACTGAATGGGGAAATACTTACATTAATTACTCAGTCTTAACTCATTTAACACTTTCAACATGTTATAGGGGTCAGGTGGGGAAATATTAATACTAACAGAGTACAACTTTTTTGTATGTGTCGATCAAGAATAATCACCCAAATCTCCTGTTCTCTATCATGTACAGCGCCTTCGGAAAGTATTCAGAACCCTTTACTTTTTCCACATTTTGTTACGTTACAGCCTTACTCTAAAATGGATAAAATAAAATAAAATCATCAGCAATCTACACACAATACCCTATAATGACAAAGCAAAAACTGGTTTTTAGAAATGTCTGCAAATGTATTAAAAATAAAACATACCTTATTTACATAAGTATTCGAAATTGAGCTCAGGTGCATCCTGTTTCCATTAATCATCCTTGAGATGTTTCTACAACTTGATTGGAGTCCACCTGTGGAAAATTCAATTGATTAGACAGGCACACACCTGTCTATATAAGATCCCACATTTGACAGTGCATGTCAAAGCAAAAACCAAGCCATGAGGTTGAAGGAATTGTCCATAGAGCTCAGAGACAGGATTGTGTCGAGGCACAGATCTGGGGAAGGGTACCAAAAAATGTCTGCAGCATTGAAGTTCCCCAAGAACACAGTGGCCTCCATCATTCTTAAATGGAAGAAGTTTGGAACCACCAAGACTCTTCCTAGAGCTGGCCCCCCGGCCAAACTGAGCAGTCGGGGGAGAAGGGCCTTGGTCAGGGAGGTTACCAAGAACCTGATGGTCACTCTGGCAGAGCTCAAGAGTTCCTCTGTGGAGATGGGAGAACCTTCCAGAAGGACAACCATCTCTGCAGCACGCCACCAATCAGGCCTTTATGGTAGAGTGGAAGCCACTCCTCATTAAAAGGCACATGACAGCCCGCTTGGAGTTTGCCAAAAGGCCCCTAAAGTCTCTCAGACCATGAGAAACAAGATTCTCTGGTCTGATGAAACCAAGATTGAACTCTTTGGCCTGAATGCCAAGCGTCACGTCTGGAGGAAACCTGGCACCATCCCTACTGTGAAGCATGGTGGTGGCAGCATCATGCTGTGGGGATGTTTTTCAGCAGCAGGGACTGGGAGACTAGTCAGGATCGAGGCAAAGATGAACAGAGCAAAGTACAGAGAGATCCTTGATGAAAATCTGCTCCAGAGCGCTCAGGACCTCAGACAGGACAACGACCCTAAGCACACAGCCAAGACAATGCAGGAGTGGCTTTGGGACAAGTCTCTGAATGTCCTTGAGTGGCCCAGCCAGAGCCCGGACTTGAACCAGATCGAACATCTCTGAAGAGACCTGAAAATAGCTGTTCAGCAACGCTCCCCATCCAACCTGACAGAGCTTGAGAGGATCTGCAGAGAAGAAACTCCCCAAATACAGGGGTGCCAAGCTTGTACCAAAGAAGACTCAAGGCTGTAATCGCTGCCAAAGGTGGTTCAACAAAGTACTGAGTAAAGGGTCTGAATACTTAGGTAATTGTGATATTTCAGTTTCTAAAAACCTGTTTTTTTTCCCTTTGTCATTATGGGTTATTGTGTGTAGATTGATGAGGGGAAAAAACGATTTAATACATTATAGAATAAGGCTGTAACCTACCAACATGTGGAAAACGTCTTGGGATCAAAATACTTTCCGAAGGCACTCTATCTTACTGTTAAACCAATCAAGGCTTGTATTATTTTGCCAATTATTGTTTTTTACTGAGCTGCAATCAATCTTGTGAAGCTTCTTATTATTTGGAGTGCGTGAAGATCGAGTTGACCAGGTCCATTGGGATACTGACTTGCTTACTCATTCCCAATAGCAGAGGCTGGTTGACATTTATTGTCATGAATCTTGTCCTGGAGGCAGAACTGAGCAATTTCTCCTTAGATAGGCAAGCTGCAAAGTCAAAATGGGCAGTATTGTAAAAACTAATGAAAACAAAAAATAGCTTTTTGGTCTTAATTTAAAGGTTAGGCATTAGAGTTGGCAGTGTGGTTAAGGTTACGTTTCAAATCGAATTTGATGACTTTGTGCTGTGCCAGCTAGTGACCACTCTACAGAGCTGCCTCCAGAACAAGATTCATGACGAAAAACACTAACCTGCATGGCAGAGTACCATGATGGCGTACATAAATGCTTCATCAGATACTGTAGGGTTCTCTTCACAGGGACCAGCTGAGTGCTGTAACAGATGTGGGCTTGGTTGAGTAGGCGTCCCATAGCAATGGGCTTGGATGGCTCTCAGGACAACAGCTAGCTAGCTACCTCCACAGAGTGGGCCATGTGGTCAAACAATTAGCTTCCGAGAACTCTGGCATGCACTTTTTGGATTCATCATGGGCGCTGATGGACCATGACTCTGGGGTGCTCCAAGGGATGCTTAAGGGGTCTGCAGGTTCCAAGGGCATCACTCATTGTTTGGAGAAAAGCAGTAGGGTGAATGGGAATGCAACATTACTGGTTAGCGTAGCCCAATCCATTATGTATGGTAATTAGCCCTAATTACATAAACAGGTAGAGTGTAATACTGCAATGTCAAAAATGGTCTTATGATTTACAAGCTCATTCTTCTTTGGACAGAAAAACAAATTAAAACATGTTTTTCTTCTTTCTTCCTCTTCCACTCCAGCATGCTTGGCCGAGACAGAGATGGTCAACCAGGTCTCTTCTGAAGAGCACTTGCAACCCTTTAAGGAGAAGATGGAGGGGTTTCTGAGCCAAGGTGAGTTTGCGAACACAGAGTACATGTCAGTTGTTCCGATGTGGATGTGGTGAAGGAGTCAGGCGCAGGACACAGAGGATACGTCCAAAAGACTTTAATAGTCCAAAGAGCAACAACCAAAACACGACCTCGAAAACAGACGGAGGCGAGGCAATTACGCAAACAAGCGTAAACAATAATCCCAAACATAGACAGAGTGCAGACACGCAGCTCTGCACGACAGGCAGAAAATAACAACACACAATCAGACTAATGCAAAACAAGGAACTTATAAGCCAAGTAATCAACACACAAATGGACACAGGTGTAAAAGACAGACAAAAGCAATCACACTACGAAACATAGAGCGGTGGCAGCTAGTACTCCGGGGACGGCAAACGCCGAAGCCTGCCCGAACCAGGAGGAGGAGCAGTCTCGGCAGAATCCGTGACAGTACCCCCCCCTTGACGCGCGGCTCCAGCCGTGCGCCGACCCCGGCCTCGGGGACGGCCAGGAGGACGCGGACCCGGGCGCGTGGGATGCCCACGGTGGAACTCAGTCAGGAGGGATGGATCGAGGATGTCCCTCCTGGGCACCCAGCACCGTTCCTCCGGACTGTACCCCTCCCACTCCACGAGATACTGGAGACCACTCATCCGGCGCCTCGAGTCCAAGATGGTCCGGACCCTGTACGCCGGGGCCCCCTCGATGTCCAAAGGGGGCGGAGGGGTCTCTCCTATCTCCTCTTCTTGGAGTGGGCCAGCTACCACCGGCCTGAGAAGAGACACATGGAATGAGGGGTTAATATTTTTGTACTCTATAGGCAGTTGTAACCTGTAACACACCTCGTTCAATCTTCTCAGGACTTTGAAGGGCCCCACAAACCGCCGACCCAGCTTCCGGCAGGGCAGGCGGAGGGGCAGGTTTCGAGTCGAGAGCCAGACTCGATCTCCCGGTGCGTACACCGGTCCCTCACTGCGGTGGCGATCGGCGCTCGCCTTTTGTTGACGGATGGCACGCTGCAGATGGACATGGGCAGCGTCCCACGTCTCCTCCAAGCGCCGAATCCACTCGTCCACCGCAGGGGCCTCGATCTGGCTCTCGTGCCATGGTGCCAGGACCGGCTGATAACCTAAAACACACTGGAAAGGTGTTAAATTGGTGGAGGAGTGGCGGAGAGAGTTCTGGGCCATCTCTGCCCAGGGGATGAACCTAGACCACTCCTCCGGCCGGTCCCGGCAATAGGACCTCAAAAACCTACCCACATCCTGGTTGACACGTTCCACCTGCCCATTGCTCTCTGGGTGGTACCCCGAGGTAAGGCTTACCGAGACCCCCAAGCGTTCCATGAACGCCCCCCAAACTCTGGAGGTGAACTGGGGACCTCGGTCAGACACAACATCCTCGGGGACCCCATAGTGCCGGAACACATGGGTAAATAGGGCCTCAGCGGTTTGTAGGGCAGTAGGGAGACCCGGCATTGGAAGGAGACGACAGGCCTTGGAAAACCGATCCACAACGACCAAAATGGTGGTATTCCCCTGGGAGGGGGGTAGGTCGGTTACAAAATCCACCGATAGGTGGGACCATGGTCGTTGTGGAACGGGCAGGGGATGTAACTTACCCCTGGGCAAATGTCTAGGCGCCTTACACTGGGCACACACCGAGCAGGAGGAGACATAAACCCTCACATCCTTAGCTAACGTTGGCCACCAGTATTTCATGCTAAGACAGTGCACGGTCCGGCCAATACCTGGATGTCCAGAGGAGGGTGATGTATGAGCCCAATAAATAAGACGATCACGAACCTCGAGCGGAACGTACGTCCGCCCCACAGGACACTCGGGGGGAGTAGGGTCGGTACGCAGTGCCCGCTCGATTTCCGCATCGACCTCCCATACCACCGGAGCCACCAAACAAGACTCCGGCAGTATGGAAGTAGGCTCATTGGACCTCTCCTCTGTGTCATACCGCCGGGACAGGGCGTCTGCCTTACCATTCTGGGACCCTGGGATGTATGTGATCTTAAAAACAAACCGGGTTAGGAACATGTTCCACCTAGCCTGACGAGGGTTCAATCTCCTAGCTGCCCGGATGTACTCCAGGTTACGGTGATCAGTCAGAATGAGGAAAGGGTGTTGAGCCCCCTCAAGCCAATGCCTCCACACCTTTAGGGCCTGGACTACGGCTAACAGCTCCCTGTCCCCAACGTCATAGTTGCGCTCCGCCGAGCTGAGCTTCTTGGAGTAGAACACACAGGGGCGGAGTTTAGGTGGCGTGCCGGACCGTTGTGACAGGACTGCCCCAATACCGGTCTCGGATGCGTCTACCTCTACTTGGAATGGTAAAGAGGGATCCGGATGCGCCAGCACCGGGGCCGAGGTGAACAGGTTCTTCAGTTTGACAAATGCCCTGTCCGCCTCAGCCGACCACTGCAAACGAACCGGACCCCCCTTTAGCAGGGACGTAATGGGAGCTGCAACTTGTCCAAAACCCCGAATAAACCTCCGGTAGTAATTAGCAAAACCCAAGAACTGCTGCACCTCTTTTACAGTGGTTGGAGTTTGCCAATTACGCACGGCCGATACACGGTCTACCTCTATCTCCACACCAGACGCGGACAACCGATAACCCCAAAAGGAGACGGACTCCTGGAAGAACAGGCATTTCTCTGCCTTGACATACCAGTCATGCTCCAACAGTCTTCTCAACACTCGGCGCACCAGGGCTACATGCTCGGCTCGTGTAGAAGAGTACACTAGGATGTCGTCGATGTACACTACTACACCCTGCCCATGCATGTCCCGGAAAATCTCGTCAACAAAGGATTGGAAGACTGAAGGAGCATTCATTAACCCGTATGGCATGACGAGATACTCGTAATGACCCGAGGTGGTGCTAAATGCTGTTTTCCATTCATCCCCCTCCCTAATGCGCACCAGATTGTACGCGCTCCTGAGATCCAACTTTGTGAAGAACTGCGCTCCGCGTAACGATTCCGTCATAGTCGCAATCAGTGGAAGTGGGTAACTGTACTTAACTGTGATCTGATTGAGACTACGGTAATCAATACACGGGCGCAATCCCCCGTCCTTCTTCTTCACAAAGTAGAAACTCGAGGAACCCGGGGAAGTGGAGGACCGTATGTATCCCTGTGCCAAGGACTCGGCTATGTAAGTCTCCATAGCCGCTGTCTCCTCTTGAGACAGGGGATACACACGACTCCGTGGAAGAGCCGCTCCTGTTTGGAGATTTATCGCACAGTCCCCCTGTCTATGAGGAGGTAGCCGTGTTGCCCTCGATTTGCTGAACACAAGTGCTAAGTCCTCATACTCAGGGGGAATGCGCAGTGCGGGCACTTGGTTCGGACTCTCTACCGAGGTCGCCCCTACGGAAACACCTAGACATCTCCCTACACACTGGGCAGACCACTCCATAAGAGCCCTCTGTTGCCACGCAATGGTAGGATCATGGGTGCTTAACCAGGGAAGCCCCAACACCACGGGGTACGCAGGAGAGTCAATCAGATAAAACTGAATGATCTCCTCATGACCCCCCTGCGTCGTCATCGTCAGTGGTGCTGTGACCTCCCTGATCCGGCCCGACCCCAACGGCCGGCTGTCTAAGGCGTGGACAGGAAATGGAGCTTCTACCGGCCGAAGGGGAATTCCTAACCTACAACAAAATGACCGATCAATAAAGTTCCCAGTTGCGCCTGAATCTACTAGCGCCTTATGCTGGGAATGAGGTGCCACCTGTGGAAATCTCACAGGAATACTCATGTGACCAACAGAAAGCTCTGGGTAAGTGGGGCGCCTACTCACCTGAAATGACTCCCCAGTGCGTGACCTGTTGTCCCCTCTCCCAGCAGACCCTCCCCAGCACCTGGCCGCGGTGTGTCCTCCACGGCCACAGTTGGTGCAGGGGATGGCCCCCCTCGGGTTCTCTCTCCTCCTCTCTCTAGCGCCAGCACCCCCGAGCTCCATGGGAATCGGCTCGGAGGTGCTGGAGGGTGGAATGGACGACCCCCACTCGGGACGTCCGCGGGTAGCCAGCAGGGTGTCTAGACGGATGGAGATGTCCACCAACTGGTCGAACGACAGGTTGGTGTCCCTGCAGGCCAGCTCACGACGAACGTCCTCTCGTAGGCTACACCGGTAGTGGTCGATGAGGGCCCTCTCATTCCACCCCGCATCCGCCGCTAGCGTCCGGAACTCCAGTGCGAACTCCTGTGCGCTCCTCTTCCCCTGTCGGAGGTGGAACAGACGCTCTCCCGCCGCTTTCCCTTCAGGTGGATGATCGAAGACAGCCCTGAAGCGGCGGGAGAACTCCGCGTAGGTGATGGTAGCGGCGTCTATTCCCCTCCATTCGGCGTTGGCCCACTCCAACGCCTTGCCGGATAGACAGGAGATGAGGGCGGAGACGCTCTCGTATCCCGAGGGCGCCGGGTGTATGGTGGCCAGGTAGAGTTCCACCTGCAGGAGGAATCCCTGACACCCGGCTGCAGAACCGTCATATGCCCTCGGGAGCGAGAGCCGAATGCCACTGGGTTCCGGTGCTGAGAGAGGAGGACTGGCCGTTGGTGATGGGATGGTGTAAGAATGCGTGGGCACCTCTCCAGTCACCAACCGGCGCAGAGTGTTGGACACCTCGTCCATGGCGGCCCCAAGTTGCCGGATCATGGTGTCTTGGTAGCTGATCCGGTCTTCCAGGGATTCGGGTGCCGCCGCTGTTCCTGCTGACTCCATAGTTTAGGTGTGTTGTTCTGTCAGTTGTTCCGATGTGGATGTGGTGGAGGAGTCAGGCGCAGGACACAGAGGATACGTCCAAAAGACTTTAATAGTCCAAAGAGCAACAACCAAAACACGACCTCGAAAACAGACGGAGGCGAGGCAATTACGCAAACAAGCGTAAACAATAATCCCAAACATAGACAGAGTGCAGACACGCAGCTCTGCAC